CAGGCCGCGTATATAGCTGCCGTGGCCGAGTTCCGTTTGGGCATAGGTGCCAACGATGCCATCCAAGCGCCAGGCGCGACCCACCCAGCGACGCTGCTGCTCCGCGTTGCCCTGGCTCAGGAGCGTGGGCAGAAACATGGAGAAGTGCAGGCGCAGCGGAAAACTTTGCTGGAACAGCGCCGTGCCCACTGGACCCGACAGCAGCATACGATAGTCGTACAGTAGCTTAATGTTAACGCTGCCCTCTGCCCCCTCCTGCTCCTGCTCGTTCTTCCCTGTGGGCTGCTCTGCGCGCCGGGTGCGCTGCCATTCACGCAGCTTGGCTAGAAATTTGGTGCCCTTGGTTAAAGCATGCTCGTAGCGCTGCTTGTACGACATGCAGCTCGGATGCACTGCATCATCGAATTCCGGATCATTGAAAAAGTAACTTTCCAGTGCACGACGCTCCTCCAGCTCGTGCCGCCCGCCCGCCCACCAAACGGCAAAGTCTTCGCTGGCAATTGTCGCCGACTCGCGCTCCCGCCGCAGGTCAATGCACTCGCCCGACGCCGACCCCGATGCCAATGCCAATGCCTCCATGTCCGTGCCAATTCCTCTTCGTGCTCTGAGCGAATCCAACAACGATTCGCCAACAACTGAGACGACAGCGAACTGTGCTGTGCCACGCCCCGACTGGTTTATGGGCCGCAATCGTTGCCCCACGCAGAGCTTATCAGCTGTTGACTGTTGACGATCCTGTCACACAAACGTACATATTCATATCAATTTCACAGATAAGATACACTTACCACCTTGCACCCAATTCTAAAGTGCTGCAGCTATATAGAGCATATGCAAACATATTTTTAAGCATGCCTATAATTTTGAATGAATCCAATTAACACGCAAAAGCAGCTAATCTAACACAAATGTTGACCAGTGTTGCCAATTCAGCTATTTTCTTAAGCTTACTTCAATTATTTTCAGAGCTCGTCAGGCAAAAGCAGTTGAAATTATTAACGGATTTATCATTTTATTGAGCATTAAGCCATTTTTAACATCGCATTCAGTCAGCCATTTTTTTGAAGCGACAGTTGGCAACACTGTTGCGGGCATTTGATTTGATTGGTGAAAGAGAGAGAGAGGGAGAGAGAGAACAATGTAACCAAATCACGACATTCAAATTTGCGTTGTTTCTGTGTTTAATTACATTGTCTTTTTTTATTTTCGATTTGCATGGTCACATTTTTGACGAATGGCGGGTAAAATGTGCTTTTGACGGTTAGAACTATGTTTGAAAATGAGTTCAAAAAACCTATGGAAAGACTAGGGATTATATATATATATATATATAGTTTAAAGACTTTTGAGCAAGTGTTAACTATTTTAAAACTCCCAATGCTAGCGTTTTGCCAAGAAATCTGGCTCTTTTCTGGCTCGCTGGACCTCTCCCTCACCTGGCCAAGTTCCTATTTGTCTCCTCTTCGATTTTAGCGGCTCTTCCTTAGTCTTCTTTTCTTGCTTAAGCTATCCCTTTCAATCACTAGATCTCTCTTTCTTATTGGCGCATTTAAGCTAGTTCGCTCTCTTTCTTTTCTACTCGCTAGATCTTTCGCTCTCGCTCTGTTAGTCCTGGAGTTCGTACCGATAAAAAGGCGATTAAATACGCATTTGAACAAATTTACAATTCATTTTCATTTTGTTTTCATTTATTATCATATATAGAAAAAGCGACACAGACATTTTGTATTATTTGTATATGTATATATAAGTATGTTTTTTTTTTTACCAATACGACAAAGTATTTGATGAATTTGATGCCCGATTCTAAACCAGGCAACTAGACATCAGCTCATTGTGTTAACTGGTCTGGTATGGGTCCATTTAACAGTTATTGAGGTTTGCGACCCATATTCACCAGGATGAGAAAAACAATAACTCTCGGCCGAGCACATAATATCGGTCCGATTTCGTAAGTTAACATGAGTATATATAGTATAGTATATATATATATCAATTTGATTTCATTATCAATGCCATTCCCAAAATAAAAAAAAATAACCAACAGAATAATCTGATACGATGCGAATGCTTTTTTGAATACCCTAGGAGAGGATCTTTATATGTAGATATATAGTCGGATTTAAGCTATTGCTGGGAATGACATAATTACCTTTTAGCTAATGATCTTTTTGTTTTGCTCAATTATTGTTTTAGCTCTTGTTAACATTATGTTACATCATATCATTACTTTTTCGGCTCTTATATCTCGTTGTGCTCAATTAACATATTTGTATAATTTCTTAATAAACAAACAAACAACAAGCGCACACAGAACAATACACATTCACGCTCCGATTACACACACATATAGATAAAGACATACATACATGCACACAAATAGCACATACATACATACATACATAGGTTAACGGAGATATCGAGATCTTTTGGGTATGCTTATTGTTTATACTTTTTATTCGTTACTTTTCATCGCTGGGTGCCTGCGCCCAGCCTTATCAACAGCTTATATATTTTTAATTTATTTTCCATTTAGTTGTTGTTTTGATTAGATCAAAATTGAAATTCTGCTTTTAGATTTTGCTATAGTTTGCTCACTTTTAGTTGCTGCTCAGACAGACACACACAAATATATATCTATAAATACTATATAAATACATACATATGAACGCCATTTGATTATGATTATTGTTACAGTTATTAGTTAGGAGCAGCTACTACCCATGCCCCCACATAAGCAGAAGCTGCTGTCCATGCGCCATTGTTGCCAACTTTCTTCAATTCTGCTTTTGCCTAATCCGTCAGACGGACTCATTTGGCTATATTTCGGCCACAATTGAGGCCATTTTCGTGCTTAGACAGCTAAGTCAGCTGTTTTAACATTGAATTCAGCCACTTTTTTGAAGCGGCAGTTGGCAACACTGGTCGTGTCTCATTGTTCCATTCAATATACATATATAAATATATATGCATGTATGTGCATGCATGTGCATGCATGTATGTGCATGCATGTGCATGCATGTACATACACATACATAGATTCATATATCTTATATAGATTGCATTGTTACGTACGTATTGTACTTCAGACTTGCAGCCACACATGCATACACATGCACACATACATCTGCACACACACATACATGTGCATAGTTGTAGATGTGACATAGTACATACATATGTAACTAGAAATTGTACAAAAAGCGCACTAAGAATTTTGTTTTGTTTTGTTGTTTTTGTTTTTTTTTCATTTCTATTTTGCAACTTGTTCAGCCCATAGTCTATGGTTAGAATTACAGTTATAAGCAAGCCAAAAACTACGATTTGTGCCTGTAGTAGTAGGTGTACGCGTTAACCGTTAGTTAGTTAGTATATACATATAAGCAACTACATGCACATACATACGTATGCGTATGCACGCACCCAAATATAAAAATAGAAAGAAAAAAACCAATTCGCGTAATCATAGAAAAAACAAAAACAATAAAAACAAAAAACAGAGTACAGCATAATTTATAATAGTTAATAAATAAAGATTCTAGACAATCGTTTGACAATCATTTCACATTTGTTATTATTACATACGTACATACATATGTACATACATATATATATTATCGCATTACATATCATATTACAGCTAGATTTCATTTAATATACTTAACTTTAGCTTTATAACTGTATAAATCGAGCTAAAATTTCAACACATATTCTCAACACTCATACACAAAAGTTATGCGAAAAACAGAAAAAAAAAAAAAAATGAAGAAGAATAACAACTAATAGTTAATAATAATAAAATAAAAAAGACAAATAATAATAATTGTAATAACTATAGTAATCTATATAGTAATAATAGGGCTACACACAACAGACATACGTACATATATCGAGAAGTAAAAATAGTTATTTGCACGTTCAACATTTAAATATATGTATATCTATACATAGTATACATATATGTATATATGTATATGCATCTCTTTTATGTATATTCGTTTTAACAAATGCAGGCTTTATATAGTAGTTTATGTGGTATAGTACTCACATATATTTATATATATATATGCATATGCTTTATATGTATTTGCATATAGACTTTGAATTGATTTTAACATTTAGCTTTAGAATTATCGTTTTTTACATACATACATACATGCATACATACATACATATATAATTTCATTAAAAATTCCATTTATATACTTCGCTGCTTGCAGGCGTATCATATACAAGCATACAATCTACTACAACTATGCAACTTACATAACTACAATGTTTTACATGTGTGTGCACACACGCACATGTATATACACACATACATATATATACACAAATGTATATCTATGCATATGTGTATATACATATATGTATGTGTTTGTGTGTGTGTGTGTGTGTGTATAGAAACTCTATGTAACTGTGTTGATTCTTAAACGTTTTGCTTTGCGCTTGCTTCTTCTTCTTCTTCTGCTGCTCTTTACTTCAACTTCCGTTACTGTTTTTAGTTTTCTTTTCATTTTCTTTTTTATTTTTTTTTGTTGGTTTTTCTTTGTTTTTGTTTTTGTTTTCTTTTGTTTTTAGTGGCACAGCCACGTTTTGAACTTTAGGCCTTCTTTCCAACTGTTTTTATTTATTTTTTGTGTGTTTTTTTTGTTTTCTTAACTCTGGCTCTGCCTCAGACCTCCTACTCATTCGATGGTTTTCTTTTCTTTTCCATTCTTTTCTTTCTATTTGTTGTTTGTTGTTTTGTCTCTCTCTCTCTCTCTCTCTGTGTCTGTGTCTGTGTGTGTGTGCTTGTTGGCGCGGCTGGCTTGGCTTGTTCAGCGTGTGTGTGTGTGTGTGTGTGTGTATAAGAGTATAAAAAACAGTTAGATTGTGATAGAGCGAAATATATAGAGAGTGTGTAAAGCGAGAGACGAGGACGAGAACTGACAAACGTTTGCGTGACGACGACGACAACAACAACAACAACAACGACGACGGCGACGACGGCGACGACGGCGACGACGGCGACGACGGCGACAACAAATGACATCAACAACAATAAACAACAACATTTTTAACTACAACAATAACTAGAGTGCGTTGAGCGGGCGACGGCGACGCGGACGTTTATTTGGTTTCATCCTGATCCATCGGCTCCTCGGAATCGTCACGCGAAAGCGTTCTGAGAGAGAGAGAGAGAGAGAGAGAGAGAGAGAGACGAGATTAGCCAGCTTTCATACATGTATATGTGTGTTTGTGTGTGTGTGTGTGTGTGTACTCACCTGTGCAGCGACTGCATGGAGAGGCCGGCCATGGCATTTACCGTTTCAGATTCATCGTGCTCGATCTGGAGCGCCTCCAGCGCGGACAGGCCGACCGTGTGCTCCAGGAGTCGCACGCAGGGCCAATGTGTTTGCTGCGGCGAAAAATGAGAAACTGGTTGAGACTATGTACGTACATACATATAAATAGAGAGAGAGAGAGAGAGAGAGAGAGAGAGAGAGTGTCGGACCAGCAAGCAGAAGGTCGCCAGTTCAAAGCTAGCTGCGATTTGCCCAATTTGATTTTTATTTACATATACTCTGGTAGAGGATATTCTAATTTTGATGTGGAATGTGTAACGCACAAAAGGAGACCATAAGGAATATATACATATACATATATATTCTCGAACAGCATCAACAGCCGAGTTGACAAAGCCAGTTCCATCTGTCTCTCAGTTTTATAGATATCGCCCTGAAACTTTGTCATATACGAGCTGCCAAAGGAACGATCTTTTTTGTTTATCAAGTTGGCTTGACCCATTTATAGATCGGCATTTATAGATTTCACTATGCTCCCTATATATGTATGTATATGGAAAATCTGAACATCGGGCCAATATATCTTATAGCTACTATAGGCACGATCGATTTAAAAGTCGGTTCTTATATGGAAATCTTTATTTTACTCGGAATTTAGTTCCATTATGATTCTCATATGTATCATATAGCAATATAGGAGAGATCGGTCGAAAAGTACGTTCTTGCAGAACTTAAAGTTAAATCTGCTGGTATATATACTTATTCAAAACGGCTGCAAATTGATTCTTTTCGAAGAATTAAATATACAATACTTTCGTATAAATATGGAATATATAAGTAGAAATGCAATTATACAAGAGCTTTAATTCCGACCGATTGTTCCAATATGAGACATATAATAAACTAAGCCGATTTGATAAGGTTTTACAGATATATAAGATATATATAGGAAGAATAAGTGAGACTCCTGAGACTTGCTGAAAAAACACAGTAAAAAGCAAAGGACAGATTTTTGGACAGATTCTGCCAAAAGATAAAGTCGTGATATATAGAGAATATATATATATATATATATATATTGCTCATATTTTGGGAGGTTCGGAAGATACGTAAATGACAAGTTTGATCGATATTTCTAATGGAAGCTATATGATATAGTGGTCCGATCCGGTGGATTTGTTTGGCCTTTTAATGCTTACAAATGCCGAGATTGGTTAAGATATCTTGACAACAATAAGAACCTACATATGGACCGATCCTAACTATGCCAACTATATGATATAGTGTTCCGATCGGGTGCATTTCTTTGCTGTTTAAGTAACCGCTAACCGTCTATTCAGGGACTCACCTGTATGGCAATGGTCTTTTGGAGCGTGTTGATGGCATTCTGGCAGGGCGGTCGCTCCAGTTCGCTGGTCAGGATCGGCGCCGCCGGATCGCCAAGGAGGGCGCGAACACACTCTTGCGCCGAATCACAGATGGCCGCCAGATCGTAGCCGCCCTCGAGGGCGAGTACCACCTTGCCGTTGGCCAGCTGGAGCAGTTCGCGCGTCATCAGGCCAAAGCAGGCGGGCGAGACATGGTAGCCGCCGAGGGGCGCCGGATGGCCGGTGGCCGCATCGAAGCCAGACGAGACCAGCACAATGTCCGGATTGAAGCACTTGGCGATGGGCATCACAACGGTACGGAATGCAGCGATATACTCGGCATCGCCCAGCGGTGGATTCAGTGCGCCCGACCAGGAGATGTTCACATTATAGCCGAGGCCAGCACCGGCGCCGCACTGCAAAAGAGAGCACGAGCGAGAGCGAGAGAGGGAGAGCATGAGTAAGAGCGAGCAAGCGAGAGAGGAAGAGATAAAGGAAGATCGAGATTGGATTTAGTAAAAGCTACAAATTGTCTTCCAATTAGATGAGTTGTTGATGTTTATGTTCGACTGAAAGATACCCTGTACCCCAGCGACGAGCTACCTTAGCCGAGTCTTGAAATAACTTCGGTGCTTAAAGTCCGATCTGAATGAAGCTTAAGGGACATTTATGTGTGACACACAAATATGTGTAAATACCAAAGAGCAAAGTTTTTGCTTAACGAATGACTTGCTTTATTCTCTTTTGATTTTATGGAGCATAGATGCAAGGCATGCAAAAAGTGAAATATACCCAATCTGTGTATAATATACGAGTACCTACATATCTAGCCTGGTGCCTATAGCTCTTATATTTCTCGAGTTATTCGACTAAACAAGAAGTTGATCGAAATTCCTGCTAATTGACAAACTTAACATAATCAGCTCTAGCCTAACAAACTTAACATGATCAGCTCTAGCCTATAAAAACTTAACATAATCAGCTGTAACCTAACAAACTTAACATGATCAGCTCTAGCTTAACAAACTTAACATAATCAGCTCTAACCTAAAAAACTTAACATGCTCAGATCTAACATAACAAACTTAACATGATCAGCTCTAGCCTAACAAACTTAACATAATCTAACCTAACAAACTTAACATAATCAGCTCTAGCCTAACAAACTTAACATAATCAGCTCTAACCTAACAAACTTAACATGATCAGCTCTAGCCTAACAAACTTAACATAATCAGCTCTAACCTAAAAACTTAACATCAGCTTTAACCTAACATACATTTAATATGACAAAATGTCAGTCAGTTAAGTCTCATGAGATCACAAGATGGAAGATTCTCCTTTTTCTATACCCTGTTAATAGTGCTATGTGAGGCAATATTGTTTGAAAAACTTCCTTTTCTTTGTCGTTTGCAACTTAGAATACATATAGACGGCATTTGAATTTACTTTAACTAATGGACAAAGCAGTTATCAGAGCTTTACAATATCTCGAAGGCCAATAGAAAGTCGTCAATCTCGGAGCGTTGATAAAGCCAGACGACAGACTAAGGGAAAGAATAGGATCTAGGCTAGATTGAAGCTGATCATGAATATGGTCTTCCCGACAAATGAACACTTTTCTCCACAATCGATAATTATCGATTTTCACTTTTGCTTTTTACAATATTGCGTAGAATTTAAATGTTATGGGGTAATTTATCTGTGACTAAACTTTTCGTATACCCTAAGCCCCAGTTCGTCCCAGCTTTCAGTTTAGTTGTAGTATATCTGAGCAATCCTTCCCGGGAACTTACCTCTGTGGGGCCACCTGTGCCGGGAAAGAAGTTACCGTCATCGTGTCGATGTATGGAAAGATATAGAATGTCGGGACTTTGGTAGAATGCTTGCTGTGTGCCATTGCCATGATGGACATCCTGGAAAGAGATTGAGATGAAGAGCTGTTAGTTTTGCGAATTGTTGGTTTGTATTTGTTGATGGGACTTGCCCAATCGACGATGAGGATGCGCTTCATTTCGGGCACGCGCTGGCGCAGCAGCTTGGCGGCGATGGCAATCGAGTTGAAGAAACAGAAGCCCATGGCCAGATTGGCCTCCGCATGGTGGCCGGGCGGACGGACGACGGCGAAACCGTTTCGCAAATCACCTTTGGCCGTTTTGAAGGCCAAATCAATGACACAGCCGGCGGCCATGCGGGCGGCAATTGCCGTATGATGCTCGTTCCATGTGGTATCCAGATCGACGCCCAGGCCGCCGCAGGAGAGACGCACAAAGCTGGCGGAGAGGGTGCTCTCGAGCTTGGGTCGCTGCAGCTGGCCCTGATTGGAGCCAAAGAGCATGGCGTGCGCCTCTGTGTGCACCGTTTGCAGCTCCTCCTGTGTTGCCTTGCGGGCGCGAAGCCGATCGCAGCGCTTCACCAGATCCGTTTCATTGAGACGCGCCCAGACGCTCTGCAGCCGGCCGCTGTGCTCCGGATGCGGCGCATTGTCGCCGCAAATGCAGGCATGCTTCAGCATTAGCGGATCGTACGCGAGTCCCGTTGTGATCTTCTTGTGCGTCAGTCCGCCTCCAACCGGACACGGGCTCTCCACCAGCTGCTGCTGCTGCTGTTGCTGTTGCTGCTGACGCAGCTGGGCGGCATAGACGCTGCCGAGGAGCTGTCGCTTGTGGGGCAGCGTCAGATTGACGGGCGGTATATGATCGGCCGATGAGGATGTGACAATGGGCGTCGGATGCTGGCCCGTGTCGGGTATCTGGCTGAGGCCATGGCCCGGCACCAGGGGGCTGCTCAGCGTGCGCGATAGCGGACGCATCAGGCCCTTGGCCAGCTCCTCCTCCTGCAGGAAGAGCAGCTCGCGCTGCTGCTGCAAGTACTCCTGATCGCGCAACTTGCTCGACTTGGCGGCCGCACGGTAGTTGGCCGCGGCCAGGGCCTCCGGCAAGTTCTGTGAGGTGCTTGTCGCAATCGTGCTCGTGAGCACCGTCTTGGGCGGCTTCTTTTTGTCGGTGAGATCCATGACCTCGGCGGCGGAATCGTCATCGTCATCATCCTCCTCCTCCCTAAGCTGCGGCTCGCGTATCCCGGCGGCGGCGACGGCAACGGCTGCGGCTGCGGCGGCGGCATCGCTCCGCGTCAACACCTTCTGGCGCAGCTTCTGGGTGAGCACCTGGTGCTCGTACGCCTGGCGTTCCGCCTGCGCGCGCGATCGAGAGTAAGCAAAAGTTGGGGTTAGGCGGCCAGGGGCATAGATTCATTCTGGGAGACTCACCTCGCTATTCTCGTAGTGCGTTTGCGCCACGTTCAGCTGGCCGGCGCCGGTGAGCATGGGATGGCCCAAAGGCAGCGGCGCCGACTGGGTGCGCCCCAGCGGACGGTGGCCCTGCTTGTGCAGATGCACCTGGGCCACCTGGGCGTCTGTGATGGGCACATGACCGGCGCCGCTGTGACCGCTGTGACCGCTGTGCGGATGCTGTCCGTGCGCATTGTGTTGGTGACCATAAAGCGCATGGGCGTGGCTATTTGTGGGCGGCAGTGTACCGGCGCCGGCAGCAGCAGCAGCAGCGGCGGCGGCGGCAGCGGCAGCGGCCACAGCAACAGCGGCAGCATGAAGATTAACAGCCGAGGCGCCAGAGACGCCAGAGACGCCGCCCAGCTGCATATAGGACGAGGACGAGGGCAGAATTGTGGAGGCGGCATGCGCCTGCGGCGGCGCCGTATCCCCCACCAGCGATGCCTGCGACGAGGACGTCGACGTCGCCGATGCGGACCGCACAACTGGCGACGGCTGCGGCGCGATGCCCGTTGCGGGCATCATCGAAAGCGGCGGCGGCGGCACCGGCGCCGCTTGCCTGCCAAACGACATGGCCAGCGGATTATAATAGGTGGGCGGTGTGCCGGCCACGCCCACACCGACACCGACGGGCACCGGTGGACCGGCACCGACACCGGCACCGGCAGCGCCAGCGGCACCGCCAGCGGCAGCGGCAGCGGCCGTAGCTGCCACATGCTGACGCAGTGCAGCGAACATGGCATAGTTGGCCTGGCCCGCCTGGGCGTTGGTTAAATGCGGTCGTCCCAGCGATATGTTTGGCAGGGAGGGGGAACTGAACAGCGGCAGGTCGTTGATGCTGCTGCGCTGGCCCGGCTGGTATTGATTGACCTCCTCGTTCTCCTCCTGGATCGGCGCACTTGTCGGTGAGCCTCGGCTGCCGACCACGCCCACCGACATGCCAGTCGACGAGGGCGGCGAATTGGGACCAGAATCCGGCGTGCTGTTGCAGTCTTCAAGACAAAAGCGAAAGGGTTCTCCATTAGTCGAGCATATTCATCCACATAGACAATATACATATATATATATACATATAAAGATATATAGTATATATAGTATATATATTTATGGATTTGGTGACTTTTTTGTGCTCCACAGTTGGAGACAGTTTTGGCCATGCGGCGGCGGCGGCGGCGGCAGCAGCAAAAAGGGGGCGCGGCAGCAGCGCAATCGGCATTTGGTTAATTTGAGGTTAGGTTCAGTTAATAGATTAAACAGCAATTATTTGGAAAGTTTCGCTGGCCGTTCGGTTAGATCAAAATAACAACAACAACAACAACAACAATAATAATAATAAAAACAACAATAGCAAAAGTTACAACAGCAATAGTTAAGCCAAAAATCAACGTAAAACCCTTTAAATGGGCTTTATCCTTGCGTGTGTGTGTGTGTGTCTGTGTGTGTGTTCATATTTTTAAAAAAAAAACTTAAACAAAAATTGAAATCAAATTAATTAAATAAAAATTAAATACAATTAGGTAAGAAAATATACAAAGATTTAATAGCCTTGTAGACATTTCTCCTTGTAAATACTGAAAATATCGCGGAAAACAGACAATTTTTCCATATAAGAACCGACCGATCGTTCCTATTGCTATATGATATAGTGGTCCGCTGTTGACAAGATCTTGCATGATACTATATGAGCATCATAATGGAACTAATTAATTCCGAGCCATCTCAATATAACAAAAGGTGTCCGCTCCAATATATAAAGTTCCTTTCCCTTTATGAAGATATATCGATTAATTTTGCTATTTACGAGTTTTGATCAGCTTAGCAACATCGGACAACTATATCATATATACAGCTTTATTGGCAGAATCTTTCGAAACGTGATTTCTTGTATTAAAAAAGTTTTTCAAAAAAATCTTGATTTTCGCACCGAATAATAGCCTAATTCCACTGTCAACATTTCTTACATTCTTTTGGGAATGTAACATTTTTTGCGAATGTGAAGTATGTGGCCTGTATGTTTTCCCATAAGAAACCACATTTGTCACATTCGCCAAAAATTTTGATTTTCGTATTCATGTTATGGAAGCTTAGGTAAATGAAATCAAATCAGTTTTGCCGTTCATATGTGTCCGACAACTGACACTTGCTAATGGAATCGCAGAATGTGAAATTTGTAAATGTAACAAATGTTGAGGAAAGTGGATTCAGGCCATTATAGCCATATGCATAGAAGCACAATTAGTTTTTAGCTTGTCGTGCTCTCTGATAGAGCTTGGAATACTGTATTATACATATATTATTATAATCGATCCATGGATCTATCCATAGATAACGATATCTATATACATAGATCTCCCGATAATGAATATAATTATAGATGTTGTTGTTGTTGTTTTTGCGGCCCGACGAGCTTTCCCTGCCTTGATATCCAGTTCTCCACTCCAAAAAGAGAAGTAAGTGGTTCTACGCCTGCCGCATGGCCGTAGTCGCTAATCGTGTGTCTGTGTATGTGTGTGTGTGTGTGTGTGTTTCTACTAATGTTATACGTACTTGTGAGAACGGAGTTCTTCTGATGCCTTCGCTGGGCGGCCTGCAGCAGCCGCTCGTGACGTCGCGCGCCCGCGGGCCCGACGATGCGTGCCTTGCGCTCGATGACGCTCTGCTTGAGTCGTATCTTCAGCAGATTCGGCTCCGATGCTGATACATATATACACATATATACATATATCATATACTAGATGCAGTTATGGTAATTTGTGTGTGTGTGTGTGTGTGTGTGTCTAGACGTTGCTATATTGACCTCTCGACCCATTGGATCAGTTACTTTTGTCTAGACTTCAGTTCTGCTCTTGGCCATTTCGTTAGTCATTTAATAGATCAATTTTAGTAACATGCTTCATAACAGGGCCTCGATCACAATGGATTTAACCCTATAGAATATAAGCTACACTCATTTTCTCTAAGTGCATCGAAAGTCTAGATACTTTAGACTAGACATCATCAGACATCATCTAATTTGTTGCTTATCTTTTATATGAATATCGAGGGACTCTGCTATTAAATCGCTGCTTCGACTTATCTCATCTCTTCTTTCTTCTGCTTCTTTTTCTATTTATTGGACTAACTACATATTAGACAGGACGCACAAGAAAATATTCCTATTGATCTCACATTTAGACTTGATCTTATTGTAACTACTTTTTAAATGCTGTTGCCTAGTAAATAAGTTAAGAAGAGACTTTATAGAGAGAACCTTAACGATCTCTTTCCTACTGATTTCTCAGTTGGACGTGAATTTACTTACTTGAATATGATCTGCATTAAAGCAGTTCCTTTATTCTAATTATCTACATATTCTAGGGAAAAGTTGATCTATGGCTTCTCTTCAAGCTTATCGCTGCTTCTTTCTGCCTCTCTTCAAAGAGGTGAGTAGCTCGTCTTCTCGCTCTGGTAATATCCTACTTATTATTTTTTGTTCGGCATTTTTTAGTAGTAAAGTAGCGATGCAAGATCGATATGCCTTTTGCTTTTAAAGAAGTTCGCTTATTCCAATTCTCTTTTAACTCTAGGGAAAAGTTGATCTATGGCTTCTCTTAAAGCTTATCGCTGCTTCTTTCTGCCTCTCTTCAGATTCTTGCACCAGATCAGACTAGCTTTGGTATTTTTCTTCTTATTTTTTTTTTTTTGGCATTTTTTAGTATTAAACAAGCGATGCAACAAGTTGGCAACACTTTGACACGCCAAGCAGAGGCAGAATATTTATTAGTTAATCAAGGGGCTGGGCGTGTGAAAGGGGGGAGGGGGGGTACACACAAGATGGAGCTAATGGGACATCAACTTACCCGTTTTCCGCAGGGGGAAATCAGATTCATATTTGAGCAGTGAGGCCGGCGGCTGTGGTATTTTATAGGGATGTGCGCTGGTAACGGTGCCCGCGGGCAAGGATTCGCCCGAGGAGCTCTTCACCACGCCGCTGGAGAAAATGACAGAGAGCGAGAGCGAGAGAGAGAGGGAGAGAGAGTTGTAGAGCTTTTGGCTAGTCGCCTGTTGCGATATCCTTACCGATTGCGATAGGGCGAAGTTGTTGTTGTGCCATTCGGTGCCACCGCCTGCGACTTGCGGCTCATGAGAAAGCACTGAGAGAGAGAGAGAGTGCGAGGGAGAGAGAGAGAGAGAGAGAGTGAGTGAGTGAGTGAGTGAGAGAGCGTGTGGGCTTTATAGTTACACTGAGTATCTGTTTGACTTCGGGACTCGCGTTCGCGCTGCAATTCTCCTTGCGCTTCATCACCTCCCGTTCCCTTCGCTCCCGCTGCTGCTGCTGTTGCTGCTGCTGTTGTTGCTGCTGCTGTTGTTGTTGCTGCTGCTGCTGGTGTTGTTGCTGGTGTTGTTGCTGCTGCTGCTGCTGGTGTTGTTGCTGCTGGCGATGCTGCTCCTCGACAGCTGCCGCCGCCGCGACCATGCTCTGTTCCCGCAATTCCTGGAAAGCGCCATGTGAATGCACCGCAAACTGAATAAATTACAGTAAGTTCGAGAGAGTTTTTGTTGTTGTTTCGGAGCAAATAAAATTTATATAATTTTTATACACCCCAATCGGGTAGGGTATATATATATATATATATATATACATATATGTATATGCTTGAGCGGCATCTATAGCCGAGTCGATATAGTCATGTCTTTTGTTTGTTTCTAGCTGGGCAAAATGTCTGAAAGGGTATCTAATCTTCGGCGTGGCTAATTTAATGTCTTTAGTCATGTGTCTGGTAGGGTATTCAATCTTCGGCGTGCCGTTTCTTTATAGAGGGATATGCCTGCAAGGGTATCTAAGCTTCGGCGTGCCCAATTTTATACTTTTAGTCATGTGTCTGGTAGGGTATTCAATCTTCGGCGTGCCGTTTCTTTATAGAGGGATATGTCTGCAAGGGTATCTAAGCTTCGGCTTGCCGTGCATAGCCTTTCTATCTAGTTAATTTTTTTTGTATTTACTTAGTTATTTTTTATTTATTTTTTTATTATTTTTTTTTGCAATTCTGATTGTTTTGTTGCAAATGTTGTTTTGCCGTGTTGTTGTTTTTGCTGTTTGTCAAGCTGTTTTGGTTGTTGTTGTTGTTGTTGTTGTTGTTGTTGTTGCTGTTTTGGTTGTTGTTGTTGTTTTAGTTGTTGTTGCCTTAGTTTAGTCATCTCGCAGGGCGGCATTTCCGGCCAAGCGCCGGCAAATTTGATAATTTATTTTTGCATTTGTATTTTGTATTTTTTTTTTTTTCGCTACCCACGCGCCGACATCGCGACCAACAACAACAACAACAACAACAACCACAACAGCAACAACAACAACAAGTTAAAGAGACGACAAAAAAAACAGACAAGACCAATAAAAATGTGTTAGACGCGGCCACTCGACTTGATTGATACCCTGTGCGCAGTAAATAGCTGCGATCAAATATTCGATATTTATCGATTTTCGCGACTGATAAACGTGTATAAGCTAGTGCAACAGGGTGTACGTTTTGTAGTAGTATACGTTCTCTGTATACACAAAATAAACAACTGCAAAATCTCAACTCAATAAAACAACTTTTGAAATCGATATTTATCGATTTGGAGAGTTTGATAGAAAAAAATGAATCGACTACGTAAGACGAGAACCAACTAAAACTAGTTGGTGCAACTGGCAGTAAACATTCATTCGTCAATATCTAGTCAAACAAACTCAAACTCGGCATTTCAAAACGATATTTATCGATAAAGGTGGAGCGAGGTTAGTTATCGAAAAACCTTTTTAAGATGTCATATGCTAATGGCTCATAAGAAGACTCGTAACTTACTTGGCGTGATCTTGCTCTAAAATTCAACAATATATACTCTAAAGCCGTGTGTTTATAATCGATAATTATCGATTCGGTTAAGATGGACTAAGCTATCGAAATAGTAATAAGACAAATGCATCTGTCTGTGATACATGAATACACATATGATCTGGCTCATTTATTTGAAAAGTTATACACAAAAAACGTTTGTGAAAACATCGATATTTATCGATTTGGTGAGACAAGCAGAGCTATCGAAACAGTTATACAAAAAATGCACTTGTCTACGCAACAAATTTGGGATTTGAATAAAGCAAGATATGCTCAAAACACTTGATTTCAATCGATATTTATCGATTTGCTTGAGACGGACAGAGCTATTGCATTATTATAATCGAATATATCGTTTAACGGTCTCTAGCTTAATTCAAATTTTGTGGATTTTTATCAGACTCCAGCTTAATCCAAATGTCGTGGATCGATCATCGATATTTATCGATTCGCTTTAGACGGCTACAGATGTTCTAATATTTTAATCGATTAACCGTATATAGCTTAATCCAAATGTCGTGGATTATTAACAGACTCCAGCTTAATGCAAATGTCGTGGATTAAGTTGAAGATTGTTAATCGATATTTATCGAGTTTGTTGAATGCTAAACAGCTGTCAGACAAACACAAGCCACGGACTATATCGACACGGTTCCACATGAAGGCATCTCCAACTGCCTGCGATAGCGATGCATACCCTTTTTCAGCCATGGGCAATGGGTGTACAGGGTAGATAGATAATAGATGCCGCCGCCAGCTTTATCAGTATCGATGTGATCTGCTCCCCTTGAAGATTGTTTGTTGTCGTCGTTGTTTTTTTCTAGGTACTCACATGATATTTGTGCTCCAATTGCATTTTATGCTCCAGTTCCATTTGTTTCGTCTGCTCCTGATACGAGTGGAAAAGTCGCTGCTTTTGCAGCTCCTGGCTTTTCTTCAGCTGCAAGCACACACACAGAGACACAGAGAGTGAGTGAGAGGGAGTGTTAAGAGAGGGTGATCAAGAGAGAGAGAGAGAGCGAGAGGAGAGAGGAGAGCGCGCGTTCGATCGTGATGTTGTGGTAAATGTCGTGGGTAGATCATTAAATGGCTCTGAGTAATTGGCCCAAAGATCTTTGCAAATGTGGCCAAAAGAAATGTGACGCATAGCCGCAAATTGAATGCGGGGGCGTGGGGAGGCGCAGCCAGAGCAGCCAGAGGAGGGGATATATTTGTTGATCTGCTTAATGGATCTGTTTAAACAATTTCAATGTCAAGTTTCTTTTTGCCAAGCGATTCCCTCAAGAGCCCACAAAACTGCAGTTCAAAGAACCCACAAACTACAAATATATATATATATATATATATATGTATATATATATTGGGCTACTAGAGTTAAGGTTTCCGATAATAAATGTTTTGGGTAAAGCTCATGCTGCTGGGAAATATGGAAAAACCAGAGACAGGCAGCTGAGATCATAAAACAACAACAAATAAAGTTGACAAGGGAAAAATGTTTTTGGCAATTCAATAAAATTCTGTGACCCTATAAAGTATATATATTCCTGATCAGCATCAACAGCCCAGTCGATCTAGGAATGTACTTCGATCTAAGAACTTTTACAAACTAGAGGCTTGCAATTTTGAGCGAAGATCTTCCCGCACAGTTCGCCCGCAGTACGAGTTTGTTTCCGATAATCGATAATTTGCCCCGTTTCCAAGAAATCGATAAAAATCGATATCGAAATTCCGCTTTTTGAGCAAATCTCTTACGTTTTAAGAGCTGGAGTCACCAAATTATAACATGTAGCTTCTAGAATAGTATATGAAGATCAAGTATCTTTCATTTTATAGCTAGTATATAGCTTGATAGCTATAGAAATTGGTAGAAAAAAGTCCAGGGTATTCCCTCGTCGGACACTCCCGACTAGAGCACTCTTACTTGTTATTTATAAGCCAACTATTTTATTTATACATTTTTGAAGGCTTGTCGCAAACCTCTTGAGATTCGCCTGTAGCAGAACTTCTCAAATCAATTCTTTTCTAGCCTTATTACTTTAATTAATTTAAATAAATTAAAGCGTTCTATTTGGGTCTTATCCTGCTGCTGTGCTACTTTTCTGGATACCTGTAACGCCCACGTTTCAATTCGCGTGCGATCACTGTACTTGTTACATGGGGATTCACACTAAAAACACGACAACTTGTCAATCTTAAGCACACTCTAATCAGACTTTAATTTGATTTGCAGAAGGTCCTTTGCTTTTCTCAGCAAGTATGTAACGCTTTACAGAAGATATTTATATATATACTCGATCAATATGTACCCTCTAGCCGAGACATCGCTTAATAATTGGGTTTTTGTAGAACAAACTATTTTGTTTACTTGATTTAATTTTAATAAATATTATAGGTGTGTACATATATCAAAAATATGCTTTGCTGCTGAAAGGGTATCTAATATTCGGCTTGCCGAAGCAAGCTTGTCTTTCTCGTTTTCAAGTACATTAATATTTCAAACAAGTGTCAATGGCTGCAAAATAGTTTTCAAATAGTTCTCATAGAAACAGGTTCCGATATGATCAAAATAAGTTTATATTTTAATAAAAACATTAACCAAAATGAAGCTCCATAACTTTTACTTAGTTTACTTAAAGAAAAAATCGTAAAAGATTGGATTGTTAAAAGCTGATCAATTAGATAATTAGTGCAATTGGAATGAATCACACTGTGATGAATGCGTTGGATGAATGCACTGTGATTCACTGTGACGGATACACACACACACACACACACACACACACACACTCACATGCACGCACACATCGATAGCGATTACACAAATGAATTAGCTAAGCATATCACGCGTCACAATTCATCAAAAGAGATCATAAATTGATGATTATTGGTTGCGCTCTCGCTCTCGCTCCCTCTCTCGCTTTCTCGCTCTCACGAAGTGATTCTGGCTCTGCTGGCGCTATCGGGCGCTCTCTTTATTACGTACATGCTGCTGATATGTTTCCATGACCTTAACGCGACGCTTACTCCAATTGGACGCACACAGGCACACACACACACACAAGCACAAACACGCGCACGCACTGGACGCGCGAGAGAGAGGTGCTGAAAAACGTTGTCTTGTTGTTGGTTTTTGTTTTCTAATTGGTTTTTTTTTTAATATTTTTTTTCTGGCTGCTTTTGTTGTTGTTTTTTTTTTTAGATACTTTTTGGTAAGCTTTTTGTGTTCACAGCTTTTGGGCAAAACAGTAAAAAAAAATATGTATATATTTATTGACAAAAAAAACTACTCAGAACTACACTAATAAATAATCTGTAGAAATATGCGCCGCTCTTGGGCTTTATTAATTTTTTAGTTTATGTTTTTCATATTTATTTATTTTTATTATTTTGTTTGTTTGCCTTTTTGTCTTAATTGTCTATAATTCTTCTTGCTTTTCTGCTGTGGCTTTTTCTGTGTATTTATTGAAAATTGTATTTGATTTGAACTTTGAATTTTCACAACGACGCGTCGCGTTTCAAATGGTTGGCTCCAATTGGTATATTTTGGATACCAATTGGATGTGTTGTATTGTTCCAATCGGACTATTGACTATTGAGTGCGCTGCTTCTGGTGTTGCGTCTGTTTTCGTTTGGCTTTGGCATTCGTCGAACGCGCTTTCATTTCAGTTTCACTCAAGCGACTGGCGACTCGCGAACTGGCGCAAAAATCAAATATAAACACAAATTTAGATACAGTTATTCGCTAGCCAAAGCGCACGAAGCTCGCGAGCGAGCTGAATGAACGTGTGCCCGCCGCTCTCGCTGCTTACGCTTACGCTCGGCGCTCTCTTCATTTTTAATTACTCTCTCTCTCTTTCTCTCGCATGGTCAGTTTCGTGGCGGCAGACAAACGGGCGTTTTGCAGCAGCAGCACCAGCAGCAGCACCAGCAGCAGCACCAGCAGCAGCACCAGCAGCAGAAGCAGCAGCAGAACTGCAGCAGAAGCAGAGCAGCAGACCATATGCCATATTGAAGAATTCGTAGAAACTGCTGTTGCACCTGATTACCCCCCGCTAGAGAACGCCCCCGCCCACCCATCAGCATTTGCCTTGCACAACTTTTTTGGTTCAGCATTCTGCTGGCCAGAGCGCATGCTATAATTATAAAAGGCCTGTGCTATAATTATAACGGGGGCCAAAGACAACACACAGACACGCCCATATAAATAGAAAAACTTGCCTTCCGATAATACATAATAATAATAATAATAACGATGTTGTTGTTTTCAGTTTACGGAGAAATCTTTTTCGAGCAAATGGGAATCAATTAAATTCCCCCAAAATGAATGCAACGAGTACTCGCATTTGAAGCACTTCAAATTCAAATAAGTCATTCAGAGCATGTTCTATAAATAGACCTATTTGGTGATAATGTTTTGGGTTTATAGCAAAAACCATTTGAAATCAAGTAAATATCCCAAATAGAATAACGCAAGTGCTAGCAGTTGCTATAATTGAATGTTATTGAATTAAATCATTCGATAGATGAGTACATTTGAATATATAATTAGTTTGTAGTATGAGTATGTTTTGGGTATATGTATGTATGTGTGTAGGATCATAGGAATACTTTATGAGTATATCATGCATACGCGTGAATAGCATATGTATGATCTTATCTTGGGCATTTATGGTCTCAAATGAATGAATGAATGAATATAGGTGAGTGTGAAAAGGTATGAAAAGAGTTACTATGCAAAATTTGTTTGAGTTGTAGATTTTATGAATGTTAAGAATGAATACGTTCATATGAATTTGTGAAGAGATTGTTTGGATACGGGTATGAATGAGGATATAGAGTATGTTTGAGTATATTTGTGTATGCGATAAGCATGATTTAAGCATGTAATGAGTATGAGTATAGTTGTGAATATGAGTATGCAATGAATGAGCACGTAATATGAATCTTTGTTGGCAAATAGTGTGTCACGAGAGTACTTTAAAGTGCATTTAGAATATTTTGAGTATAAAATCGAGTATGTATGGATATGAGTATGAGTATCAGTAAGCGAACGAGTACGAGTACGGGTATGAGTATGTCAGTTTACATGGGTTTATTTTGGAGTACATTTATACCGTTAAGATATTTAGCAAGTATGTTTGAATAACTTTGAATATTTCCGAGTAAGTGCAATGAATATGATGCTGCATGTAAGGAATGAGTTTGCGTATATGGAAGATCGTTTGAGTGTGTAATGAGTATGTGCTGCACATGTAATGCGTACATTTAAGTATCATCCGGTTTTAGTTGGTTCACAATTTCGGCAGAACCCACCCCTCCCCCTCCCCCTCCCCCCTTCCAGCACCTCTCTACGTGTAATTAGCTCAGTGTGCAGCTCTACACACGGTCGTCGCCTCCCACCCATTGTGGCTAATTTACAATTTGCTCGTGCCACAGATTTTTATAAATATAACTACAACAACAACAACAACAACAACGACAAGAAAGAGCAGCTAGCGAAAGAGCTGTGATTAGCTTTTCCTATTTGTTTTAGTTTTACAGTTATAGTTCTTGCATCTCTTTCGCCCATCTCTTTCGCCCGTTTCTATTTGTGTGTATATGTATATATAAACATTTTTTTTCTGTATTTTTTTTGTTCTTTTGTTAAAAATAAAACCCACAGAGTTTATAAAGCACAAAAATAAAAATAAATTCAAAGGAAAATGTAAAAATAACAAAAACGGCAAGCGTTGAGGCAAAAAGGCAAACGCAGTGGCGCGCGCTGCGTGGCAGAGGGGTGGCAGGGAGGGGAATAGGGGGTGGGTCTGGCGGTGGCGGGGGCGGGTGTTGGGTGTTGGGCAGGCAACACTTTAGCAACTACAATATGAATAAGAAGCAGAACACTTGAACCACAAATACGAAAAATTCAAAAGAAAACAAAGCACACACACACACACCCACACACACACACACGCATACACCCACACACGCACAGGCCGCAATGCACAAAGTAAAAAGCCAAAAATAAAATCTGGCTATAAATTGTATGCAACAAGGCAATCGCTAGCAACCAGTTGCGGGAGGGGAGGGGAGGGGAGGGGAGGGATTGTGTTGGCCGCCTGCTGCACATGTTGCTGCTGTTGGACCATGAGGTCGACTGCGACGGCGACGTCGACTGCGACGTCAGGGCAGCAACAGAGCGCAGCGAGACAACAAAGTTGTGCTGCCCGCCCAGCAGCTACAGTGAGCACTCGCTGTGCGCGCACAGCCTAGATGCACGCCTGTTAAAAGTAGCTTTAAAAGAACACCCCAAAAAAAAGCTAACTTAGCGCAATTGGGCATTGAAAACAAAAAAAAAGGAAGCTAAATCAGTTTATAGCTGACGAATGCAGCTGGAAAATAGCTGAGCTGGTCACACTGCGGCCTGTATATTTAGCCAGGCTACACTTTATGGCTCTCGCGCCCTCTCTCGCGCTCTCTCTCGCGCACTCTCGCTCTCTTGGCTAGCATTTGATTTTTATTTTTAGCACAATCGCCGTTTTATTTAAAAAGAAAAGCAAAAGCAAAAGCCAAAAGGCAAAAAAGAATGCGCAAAATACTCGGTACATATTTTCGTAGAGAAAACAATAAATATAGAATCATTAAGTTGTACACGCGTTTAAATTTAGAACCAGAAGAGAAAATAAGCAAGAAGCTGGCAGCATACAGCCGTCGGCTATAGGCGACTGCGCGATGCTCTTCTTCTCGATTGTGCGTCGTCCGCATTTAATGCGTCGCCGACTCTCAGACTGTAGTAAGCTTACAGGCAAGTGACTCTCAAACTGTGCCTTTTGAATGTTTATACCCTGCACCCATGGAAAATGTGTAAAAAGGGTAGATTGGTTTGTTGCAAATGTGTGCAACAGGCGACCCAATAAAGTATATATATTCCTGATCAGGGTATCTTTACTTTTTAAAGCTACAACTCACCCACCCCCCCCCCCCCGCCCCCCTTAGAGCGAGCTGCATTTGTTGTTGGTAGAAGAATATTAAGGGTATCCGCTAGTCGGGCGCTCCCGAATAGAGCACACTTCGCACTTCTTTTTATGCTACATTTGTTGTTGGTAGTAAGTCCAGGGTATCCCCTAGTCGGTCCTTCCCTACCAGAACGCTCTTACTAGCTTTTGTTTGGCTTTGTGTTCAACTGAGTTACCAGAGCGAATAGAGCGCCATCCGCCTGCTCGAATCGTGCATACCCCATAGATAAAAATTAGGCAGAAGGCAAAATAGACAAGCAAGAGTATCGCTAGTCGTGAGTGCCCGACAGGAAAATAGCCAGCATTCAGTGCAGAGTTTTAACTGCCAGGAAATATTTCCAAATTTCATGTCTTTAGCTTTAGGACGAACAGAGGATGCGAAAAACAAGCTGTGCACGCGCAAAGCCGGATAATACACGCTTTGTGCAATACATAAACAAGTTTCAGCAATATAAAAAAAAACAAGGAAAAGTAAGGAAAATGCGGCACACGACAATGCGGACATGAATGCTAATGATATTCCGGATGATACCGATCATAATGATGTCGCCCGACGAGGACGAGGAGGAGGAGGAGAAGGAGGAGCAGACGGGTCAAGTAAATCGAATGAAGATGAAGATCCGATATGGCATTTCCTCTATACTCTACACTCTATTCTCTCCCCATTTCCCCCCCCTCCCCATTCAAGCTGTGGTCAACTAGCGCTAACAATGGCAGCAGAAAGATTGACAGACAGGCCGAACAGGAATCGGGACAAAGAAATAGCTCAGGTGGTTGCTTGCCAGGCGAAACTGAATAGAGCCAACAAAAATATATAGAAAAAAAAAAGTAAATAGTACAAAAATAAAACAGTGTGCACGACTAGTTGATACCCTGGACATAGCCTTGAGCTGCCGGAACAAATCGCAAGGCAATGTCTTTTAAAATAATTATTGGTTTCTTTTCGGGTTAGAGTTAGATTTATCCAGCAAGTGAAATATTTCTCATCTATATAGACTATACACTAGTCGAGCTCTGAAAATCTTCAATGTATGCTTAAAACATCTGATTTAACAATCGATATTTATCGTTTTCACAATATGGTATCTGATGTAACAATCGATATTTATCGATTTCAAAATATGGTAACAACTATCGATAAAACTTGTTCTGCGCTTAATATACGAGAGTATGAATATGATATCCGACTTTGAAAATCTTCAAGCTCTGCTTAAAACATATTATTTAACAATCGATAATTATCGATTTCACATATATTTCACATAACTCAAGTAACAGAGAGACAAACATGTCTAGATCGACTTAGCTCGTCGATCTGATCAAGTGTATATATACTTTATGGGGTTGGGGCTATAAAATCATTGTACCCTATTCTAGGCATTTGCAAAACGTACAGGGTATACGTAAACGCAGCTGTACGAGCTGATGCGGAGGCACTAGAAAGCAGTCTACGCAGTTGGAATAATCTATTTTTGTGTGTGTGTGTGAGTGTGTGTGTGTGTGTGTGTGTGTGTGTGTGTTTGTGTGTTAATATCGATTTGAGTCGATTGAAACAGCTGCCTTTTTTTCTAAATGCTAGGTGGCAACTTAATTTTGTTATAAATCTAACTTTTTCCCACTGATTGGAAAAGCTAAACTACGCAGCGGACTAAAAAACGTTCAAGGATGCGACACAAAGAGAACAACGAGAAGCGTTCAAGCTGGATAACAAGAGAAACTATTTCATTGTGATAACGTTTTATAGCATACGTTTGTTGGCTTTTCTTTTAATGAAAAGTAAAGCAATATACAGAGGGGGAGAAAAAAAGATAAAGGAAGAGAGAGAGAGAGAGAGAGAGAGAGAGAAAGACACAGAGAGCAAAAGAGAGAGGCAATCTAAGACAGTGGCAGATAATGTTTTCATGTTTTATGGCAACTGAATTCTTGCCTTAAACTGTAAAACCTTTAAGGAAACAACACAAAGAGGAATACGAAAAACATCGGCTTTCGGTTCTGGGCAACGTATGAGGGATGCATGAGTGTGAGAAGACGAGTCTTTCCAGCCTTTGAATCTCTCTTCCCAGTTAGTTACTAAAGACATACTAGGGAAGCTTTCTAACGAACACTTGGCTTGACTTGAGTTGAGTTGCATTTGAGCTGCAATGTGGCCTAGTTCAAGTTTTTTTTATGCTAAAATTTACCTCTAGGATCTGCTGATCAATGTCAACTTGGCGGGGCTTAAAGTCCAACGATATGACGCCCGGCGTAATGTGCAACAATCGCTCATCGTTTCCGGCTTCGGGCGGCAGATCTGTAAAGAGAACAGAGTAAAAAGTAATTATAGAAAATGTGTATAGTAACAAGTATTGCCCGGTTTTGCGCGGGCTACTACTTTTAACAATAAACGATTATTCTTAGCTATTCTCCCAATTGAAATGAAAAGTTAGCAGCAAATGCTAATTGAAAAGTTTGCTTTGATATTTAGATTTATCATAATACAAATAACATTCAAATAACTGCCAATCAGGTGATATATAAACTATCTTTTGTTCAACCTTGGCCCTACCCCGTCCCAGCCTATTTTGTGGGTGGATTGGAGCTCAACCATCCCTAATTTTTTTTGTTAGTATTTATCATATATTATGTTTTTCATTAAATAATGATATACATTATATGTACTATATTTTATGAGTAAAACATAAAGATTTATTTGGGACTTTTTGATAGGTGATATACATATAAACATGTTTAAGACTGAAGATGTCAAAGATCGTATCTTTTAATTGGTAAAATTATCAAGGAATAAATTTTAAAACGACTGCGATGAAACTTCTTTGAACAAACTCTTGAAATATGTACCTGTGTAAATATAGATTTTATCAAGAACTCCTTGAAGAAACAAATAAATTTCAAATATAGAATAATCATATTCATAAATTTCACATTTAATTTTATTATAAATTCTTTATTTGTTGTAATGAAAGAAAAACTCCTTTGCAACGGAAGTGCCGTAATTTGGAGGCAGACGCTGTATCGATAGTATCGGAATACATTTATCGATAAATGACGATGCGGGCAATCGCAATATTTATCTTGGCAAAGCACAACAACAAAGTAAACCAAACAAAAACAACAACAACAACAAAGCAAAGACGCGCGACTGTTTTTGAACGCAGCTTGTGTGTATGTATGTGTGCTTCTGTGTGTGAGTGTGTGTGCGTGTGTGCGCTCGGCCAATTAGTTGATTATATAGATAAGGCTGCGCTTATCAGACGCTTTACAAAAATTCATCTAAAACGTATTTTAACATGTGCTCTCCCTCGCTCTTGCTCTTGCTCTCGCTCCACTCTCTTTTGCCCCCGCCCCCCCAACACCCCCGCCTTAAACAGCTCATTGGCTGGCTCCAAGCACGCCGAGGCCGCATACCGAGTCGAGGCGTGCGCGTGTGTGTGTGCGTGTGTTGGTATGGGTATTGGTGTATCTCTGTAGCTATTTTTAGTAACCTTGTACAAGTTTACAGCGATTACATGGACCCGTCCCGAGAGCTTTTTTAGATAACCGCTCTCCGTGCTGCGCTGCTTGGGCACAGCGCGCACGTGACGACGTCGACAGCGACGCCGTAGTCAACATCAACGGCAACGACAAAGGCCACACAACAGCAGACCAACGACCAGTTCCGTTTGGCGTTGTCTTCGTTTCATACGCCACTCCCCCTGCCCGCCCTGGGATCGCTTTCAGCTACACGTTTTAGCACGGAGCAACTAATTTGATTTGCTTTTGTGGCGCACAAACAAATGCCAAAAAAGAAGCAACAAAATAAATTAAAAAAAAGAAAAAAGAGAGAGAAAAACTGTCGATGCTTCTGCTTCTGCTGCTAATGGACACAAGGCAAAGTGCAGTAAAACACACACAAAATGTTCATTGATAAACTGGCAACGAGTCGAACTGTTGCTCTCTCTCCCACGCATTGACGCTCTTTTGCCGCCCAACTTGCGGTCGCGCTCCCTCTCTCTCTCACTCTCAGTCGATCAGCAATTAGACATACAGCCGGACTGGACTAATTGCGCGCATATTTATGACTAAGCAAAATGTCCAATTGGATTGCTGCTTGAAAGACAACAACATTAATGTGCATACACACACACACACACACACACACACACATAAATGTACATGTGCGCGTGTATAGTTGCTGCCATTTGCTGACTCTCTGGCAAAGCAACAAAATGAAATGAATAAATCAGCAAGTAAGGCAAAGTCTAGTTTTGGGCTGCTGAGAGGTGGCTGGCTATATATAAACACAATAGCAAAAGGCAAAACCAATAGCAACAACAACAATGGCGAAATACTTACACACATGCATACATATGTATGCTCACATGTTGTTGCTGTTGCTGCTGCTGCTACTCAACGTCGAGTCGAATGCATGTTCCGCCATATGTATGTGAGTGTGTGTATTGTATAAATAAATTGCTATGCAAGTATGTGTGTCTATGCAAAAGGCTGACCGAATAGGCCGTGACCTGTTGTTCTATATATAGCAGCTATTATAAATCGTGCATAGCTATGGGAGTATAAATTTAGAAGCAGCAACATCGGCGGAATCAGCAATAGCAAAAACAACAACAACTCAACTGAACTGAACTCGCAGCGCACATTGCACAAAAACTAAACCAAAAACATAAAAAAAAAATCATATCAAATACGATGCGAACATGTGTAGTCGGGTATTTGATACCCTGTAATGTAACAATTGTACTGTGATGGTATATATTTTTAAATATCCGTAAGCTTGTACAATGCTTATAGAATATAATAAGTCCATTTTTTTAATATATATATAAATGTAAACACAAACCATCTTTTAAGCAACAATATACATATATGCCAACTGCCTTAAAATAGGGTGTGTAGAAAAACATAACCAAAACACAGCAAGAATATGATAACTGTCTGTAGGCGAGCAAGAATCAGAGAGAAAGAGAGCAAGTGCGAGAGTGTGTCAATAAGAGCGGGCGCTCGCATATGCAACAGCTGCAGCTGATGTTTATGTGTATGTGTATGTGTGTGTGTTTGTGTGCATGTTGGCTGTGTGACACTTGTAAGCAATACAGCGCAGCCGATGTTCTGCAGGTGCATGCAAAAAGTTTCTTGCCAACATGTATGCACGTGTGTATGCGTGTGCATGCATAATGTAGGAGTAAGCGAGAGAGTGCATGTTTGGCTGATGATGATATTGCTGTTGCCGCTGCTGCTGCGACTGCAGTCAGCTGTTTACAAGAAGTTCGAATAAGACGTGTCGTCGTCGCCAAGGTCAATTCTGTGTTGACATAGAAACCAACAGCACCAATAGGCGCAACAACAAAGCAGGCAGCACGTGTTCAAAACAAGCGTTAGAAAATTTGAATAGAGCAACGCCAAACATGCAGATTGTGTTCCAATTGGAAACCGAAACATTTAAGCCAATTGGTATGCATGCGATAACAGCAATATGTGTATGATTATGTATGTGCATACATGTGTATGTAGAGCTCGTAAATGGGAGTCACAGTTCTGGCTCGAAAAAAAAAACAACACAAAAACATTAACAGCAATAATAATAATAATAATAATAATTATAGGCCGACCCAATTCTCTGCTTACTTTGTTTTGAGTGATAGCAGACGACACTTGTATGCGTGCCAGTGTATGTATGCAAGCATGTGCGTGTGCATGTGCGATCGAGTACGTCTGTGTGCGTGTGTGTGTGTGTGTGTGTGTAGGAAAAAATTTCCAGCGCGCTCGTCTAAAAATAGACACACTTTGCGGCAACAGCAATTCGGGGGCCCCTGGGGCGGGCCATATATAATATGTGGGCGTGGCTCGTTCAGTTTTGGCTTATTTCGAAGTTTTAGCTGAGAGCCCGTACATATGTGTGAGTGTGTGTGTGCACACACCCGCTCTCGCAATGTATGCGTGTGTGTGTTTCACCTTGACAAATGCAAAGCCGAAAAGCAAGAGCAACAACAACAACGCAGTTTAGAAACGATTACACACACATACATATGTACATACATACATATGTACGTAGTAAACAACTGTTATAGAAGAAGCAGCTGGTAAATGCTAAGAATGGAATTGGAAAGGGCAAATTCGGCTGGAATGGGATGTTGTTGTTTGTTGTTGCCTTTGTGTATTACAAATGAGGATATTATGCCATACACAAAGCTAACGATTTTATATAACGATATAAATAAGTATGCCATATGAATTCCATACAAACAAACACACATACATAGATAAACATGCGTATATACTACACACATAGAGAGTGTGCGAGAGAGGGAGAGAAAGAGGCAAAAAAGTTGAGCTGTTATTCTTGGAATGCCATTACAATAACTGACAAGTGGAGAGGGTGTGGGGTTTGGAGTGCGGGCCTGGGAGGGTCGCAAGTGACCTTTGACAGGTGAGTATATCTCTGGCACAAATTGCGCACCCCAATAAAACGTAGCAACTGACTTGGAATGACTTGTCAACAGACCATGCACAGCCCCCCCCCCGTCTGACTTTTAGATACCTGGCGGGAAATTTGTTTGGAAATTAATAAAACACAATCATCATTAGCAATGACCTCGAGCACAAGTCAATACAAATAAGACACCAAAATTTCCGGGAAATGACACAAGAGAAACAGAACGAAAGAGAGAGAGAGAGAGCATTTTTACAGTGATTGCTTTTCAAAGTTAAACAAAAAACTATACAACAAATAATTTCGACATTTTAAATGTATTGGAATTGAAAGTCGCCATATTAAAAACACGTGCAAACATATGTATGTACATTGATATCCTTTTGCAATATTGTTTAAATCTTGAAATTTGATAATCAACGCAATTCCAACCACGCAATTCCAACACATCACAAAATGACAATGAAAAATGGTTGTCAGGGGAACTAACATACACACATATGCACATGCATACAAACATACACAAGTATGCATGCACAGACATGCATAGCATTCATACATAGCTACAATTGACACTTGAAACATTGCATTGGCTCCTTAACATGATATGTGTTATGCAGCGCAGCTTTCGCTTACGGATAACATGAGATACAATTACGGTGCACATTTTTTGAACAGCTGAGCAACCGGGGAAGACAACAGAGAGACAGCGTGGCTGGTCCACGTGCCGTTACAGAGCATGTTTGGTCATTCACAATTAGTCAATGTGCAAGGGGCCGACGCGTGTGCAGTGTGCACGTGGCCATTGCTTTTACAGTTACGAGAATTCAACAGTGGGAAGTAAAAGTGGGGCAGCCGAGCGGAATAAGTAAAAGCAGGACGCAAGAAATAAAGGGCCATAAGATTGACGCTGGCGCCGGCGTCGGCGTCGTCGTCATTGTTACCCATTTCAAAGGCAAGTAAATTTTTGTTGTGCTAAAAATAGAACAAAATCGATAAACGAATGTTGTTCGTTTTGTTATTGTTGTACACACAAACAAACAGACACAGAGGCAGCACTAGTAAGCGCCGGCAAGAGAGACTAGCCTGCTCCAAAAAACAAAAGCGAGAGGGTAAAAGCGAGAGAGCGCTAGGCCCGCCGTCATGTTGTTATTACACGTGCTTGGCATTGACAGTGGCGGCAGCAACTTGAGCTAAAAGCTGCAGCCTTGCCCAGTCAGAACTGTAAACCAACTTCCTTCCACGTTCGCAAGTGCACACGATACAGTGTTGACCACACATATATGTACATTTTTTTCGCCATGAAAAGTGTGTTGCATATTCTGGGAAGGCAGCTTCATTTTCTTCGGGTTTACATATATATTTAAATCAAAGCTTTTGTATTTATTTGCTTAATGTCTGTTTGGATCTTGGCTGTTTATTAGCGATCCTCCCACTGTGCAATTAACTGTATATAGAATATATGGAATTGACATTTGCCTAAAGAATTTTTTCTACATTTTCCTAAAAAATGCACTATTAACTTTTCCATGATGCTATTGCGAAACGATTTTGATCCTTGCATGACATACATATATTCTATATTCATTTAGGAGCTCTAACTAAACGGCCAGCACTGTAAGTCTTCATTCACGCACAAACAAAACACACTTACACTCACGTGCTCTCTCTTTTGAGTGACATTCGCAGTCAAAAACGCAAGCACAACCACATGATGGTTTGAGTTTCGTCTTTTGCTGCCGCTGTCGCTGCCACTGCCACTGCTGCGCTGACACCCGACCATGGACAATGTTCTTGTTGTTTAGCCGCTGCCGTTACGCGCTGCTCGCTGCCGCTGCAAAGGCAAAGGCTAAGGCAGTAAAAGCTGCGCTCCGCTGCGCTGCGTTGGGTAGGCAGCGTTGTTTGCTTTTGTATTCTTATTAACAGTTATTTTCGGAAGGCACACACACAGCTGCACTCTTCCACTCTCACCTCTTTATGTGTGTGCTTGTGTGTGTTAGTATGCCATAAGCTTTGTTTGTGCGCGCCCCGTTACATATGTACATATGTATGTACATATGTATGTACTCGATTGTTATTACCCTGCAGCACCGCCGACCACTGAATCAGGCCTGAAGGCAGGTGGCGGCGCGGCAGATTCCCTTGCATGCGTCTCAGCCGTGAATTTAACACAGGCATGTTTTGGGACTTCATGACCTTAGATGACTTTTGGCATGAACACCTTGGCTGAATTCATGCCGAAACTCATTTAATGTGATCCAGTTCGAATTCGTGACTGATTTCATGCGACTTTTGAGTGATTTCATTGCTGAATTAGTAACAAAAATCATGAACGCTTTCATAAGTGATTAAACATTACACTAATTCAAAATAGAAACTCACATTTTATGCCTTAATAATATTAATAATATTAATTTTCAATTATGGTAGTATTTAGTATTTCCTCAACGTCTTCTCCTTTTGTTGCTATTGCAATATTGTGAAATGAAACATGAAAATTCTACGGCCACACTTGCAAAAAAAAGTCATGCGTATTCCGTTCTTTTTAACAAGCGTGGGGAGAGGAAAGCAAATTAGAAAAGTATGGCAACTGGCGCATTCGTTTTAAATTATCTATTTACTATAGAAAGAGGCAAAGGGAAAGGCAAAAAGCGTTGCATGTTCTTCTTTCAATCCCTTCTGAATTGGATGCAATTCACACACAGGCACAAATTAGAACAATCGGTCCTGCAGGGTATTGCAACCGACCACGCCCCCGCACCCGACCAAACGGTACATAGAGAATGGCTTCACTTACCACGTATTGGTATTCTATCGTCAGGACTAGACATTTTGCATGGATCTGTAAGACACAAAAAAGAAAAGAAAAAAGTTGTTTAGTTGTTAGTCAGCAACAAAAACGGGATGTCTAATTGGGTTTTCAAATCAACACAATTACCAATTGGCATTATTTGGTCGGCTTTCCAGTTGGTAAACTACATTGCTTGTGAGCCGCAACGGCAAATGTTAAACTTTTACAAATGCCAAAATGAATCATTTGCACAAAAATCTCATATTCCAGGCCATTCATAGGCTGGGTTTTCTTGTGTGACAAATGTAAATTTCCAGCAAGAAGCGAAAGCCGCAAAATGAGCGACATCAATTCCAATCAGAAATCGTGATGCGGCGAATTGAAAAATCTGTACCATTTGCAGTTGCTTACAAATTCATTGAAAAATGCATACATACATACAGTGCACACATATGTACGTATACAATCTGTGCGACAGATTAGCGGAGCCACAACAATGGGCAACAACAACAACAGCAACAACGAAGAAGGAGAAGAAGAAGCAAAAGAAGGCGAATGAGAATAGCAGACGTCACATTCTGATAAGCTACAGCTACAGCTACAGCGATCAGAGCGAGAGCGCATTAATGATAGTCCGTTAGTCTGCTTCTGCTGCCACTTCTGCTTCTTCTTCTTCGTCTTCTTCGTCTTCTTCTACGTTGTTCCGCTACTTCTTCTTTGCACTTGGCTCAGATTTCGGAAAATTTTCTGAATTGATAATCGTACATTTTGTTGCTGTTATTCGTTATACATATTTATTGTGTTTTCGATATCTGTTGCTAATTTAAAATGCCAGCTGAATGATTCGGCCTATCTCCCCCCCTCCCCCGCCACCACCACTCCCCTACTCAATATACCACACCACAATGAAACACAACACACCACACTTCTAGCTGTGAATGGAAAATGTTGAAAACCTGCAAATTACCAAGCAAAATACAAATTCTGCTTATATTGCGACTCGCATGAGGACTTCGTGTGTGTGTGCATGTGCGTATGTGTGTTTGTGTGGGTTGCAATCGAATTGGGTCACAGGTGCATTAAATGAGTGCACGCTTATTCTGTGTACATAAGTAAAAAGTAAAGGGTGATGAGTGGCGGAGTGGGGGGAAGTTGCTCGCTTTGCCGCCCCAATGACCTTCAACAACGTCAAAACAACTAGAAAACCCTAAACCGAGCAACAGCCTAGCTTAGCCTTAGCTCCTGTGCCACCCACTACACACACACACACACACACACACACACACACATACGACGCATACAATTTCCGCTCACTAATTACAAAAACAAACAGAACAAGAAGCAGCAGCAGCAGCAGAGACAACTGAATAAAGTGTAGAAAGAACAAACAGTAAATAATTATGTATATATGTATGCATGTACATATGTATGTGTGAGCATAGAATACATAACAATCAAACGGAACAGACGTCAAAAATGAGAAATTTAAACCGATCCAATTGGAATTTGTCATTTGTTCTATCGCTTCTTCGACGTCTCTGCTTGTTATGCGCTGCGTAACGAGGGGCTGGGAAAGGGGGAGGGGCGGGTGGGGGAGGGAGTGCTTATAAGATGCAATTATAATTGAACGTCAAAGAAAATGAATATAATAAATATAAATAAATAAATTCAATCAAATGTTTTAATCAATATAAATGTTATTAAATCAGCCAAGTGCAACAACAACAATATTAAAAGTGGGAATTATATTTCTATGTGTGATTATGAAAGCAAACGTGCTGCAGCAGGGATATACTCGACTAGCAGATGTCCCGTACTTTTATTTGAGAACTTTTCTTTAGGGCGTTATCGAGCTTTCCAACTTTTTTTGGAATAGTATTTTTATAATTATAATAAGGTTATATTTAAACTTCACCCTATTTCTTAACTTTGCTTAAAAACTGTTGAAGATACCCTGTAAATTTAATCATTTTTCTTCCATATACGCTATTATTTCATAATATTGCTTAACACCTGTTGCATGTACCCTGTACATTTCATCATTTTGATTAAAAACCGTTGCATACACCCTGTAAATTTCATCATTTTGCTTAAAAACCGTTTAATTGTTGAACAAAGTTTGATTTTATCTAGAAATCGAAGATCTAAGACCTTTGGTACAGCGCAAAGCTTGTGAGTTTTCTAGAGCAACAACTTCCTATATAGATCTATCAAATATAAAATTAATGCATACAAATATATATACATATATACATATAAATGATGTATTCGTATTTATACAAGGTTGTAGAGGGAATTATAACTTGGGAATGGCAATAATTTAAAAAATTACGGGCGTTACTATGTTTCTTATATGTAAGCAAAAACTTATCAACACTGGTCTACGTAGAGCTCTATGTATAGATTCGGTCGAAAATTGACTCTCAATATGCAAGAGTTTTCCGTTTCTTAAACGAAATGAAGTTTTTTTATGTTTGGATAATCATGGTATGAAATGTAGAAGAAGGCTTTTCCAACTCTACAAGTTATATACATATATTCTTAAAAAGTATCAAAAAGGTAAAGGATGATAAAGGATAACCATGGCACAAAATGTAGAAGTTGACTTTTTAACTCTATTAAGTATATACATATATTCTTGAAAAGTATCAAAAGCCAAGTTTATATAGAAATATCCCTCTGTCTGCTTCTATGCAAAGAAGTCGCTCAGTTTAAAGGCTTTCGGTCGGATCGGACAACTATTTCAATATAGCTGCCATTGGAAGGATCGGTCGAAAATTAAGCTCTTTTACAAGACTTTTTTTATTTAAGATATCTTCTTGAAACTTTATAGTTTCATTATGCATCTAACATATAATCAAAACCTAAACAATATTTGACTACTATATCATATAACTCTATAGGAAGAATTGGTAGATATTTGAGTTTTTGTAGGATAAGTTTTCCGTTTTACAAGAGATCTTCAAGAAACTCGACAGTATCATACAGTTCTATAGAAAGAACTGGTAGATATATGATTTTTTGTTTTACAAGAGATCTTCAAGAAACTCGATAATTACGAGCTTTAGATATATGTATGTATATATATTTATATATTTTACATATCTTATCTTTCTGCTTAGTTTACTCTATTTAAAAGACAATCAAAATACGTATTCCGACAGAAAAAATAGGATTAAATCTGCAAATTCAAAATGCGTCAAAGCCTTGAAAATAACGAATCAAATTTTATGCGGAAAACCCAATTTTCAGAACATGCGATTTTCAAAGAAAAACTACTTTACATTTGAACTGTTATATCAGAATCGTTATATAGCCATACATATATAAATTACAGGTATATGCACATGGGTCAGCAATTGCATTTAAATACCTGAACTCCCCCTCTCTCTCTGCTGTCTTCTTCTTTCGCTCTGATGGAGCTTTTGCCTTGTTTAAAATGTAGAACGTAGAATCTGAATTCGTGGAAGGCTCACGGCGAAAACGCACACACACACACACACACATGCATCATGTATGTATGCGTAGGTATGTAAATTGCTTTTGCGTTTTTGAATTTTGCACTTTGCATTTCTGGTTTGCATAAATATTTGCTGCGCACTCAACGAAACTGAAATTTGGCGTGTGGCGAGAGAGCATCAAAAAAAATTCGCATTCCAATTACATTGATTACACGCATTCCCATGCACCGCACTCTCCACTCCCCTCTCTCTCTCTCTCTCTAACTCTCTTTTTCGCACACACCAGTACCCAGAATTAAAAAAAAAACAAAAACAAAAGCGCAACAAGCGGCAGCGACGTCAGCAGCGCAGCAGCATCATCGTTGTCCGTAATGAAATGACAATAAAAATCAAATGACGTTCGCTCTTCTTCACTCGCTACTTCTTCCTCCTCCCCTACTTCTTAATAGCAGCGACGTTGACACAGCTTCTAAGAGAAATCCCAAAATGCGCGTCACACAAACACAATGCCAATTGCTCTAAATGCTTTGTTGTTCCTCTTCATCGTCTTCTTCTTCTTGTTGTTGCTGCTGCTGCTGTTATGCTAGCTGTTAATTTACAGCAACACAGCTTACGTACAGATGGCAATTGGACAAAAAAGGCTAACGCTGACGTCTGTCGTAGCTTAAATGGTGCGCTGCTGCGCGGCAAAGGAACAGAAATATTCTGCCGCCATTGCCAGTGTTGATAACCAAAATGACAAAAGTGAACCTAACCAGTTCAATGCGCTTGGCGTTGCTCCCAGCTGCTATGGCTACGGACGGTGCCGATGCTGCTGGGTGCTTTTTTTTGTGCGTTGACGCCAGCAGCGGCAGCGCTGCCAACTTCATTACAACGGCAACGACAAACAACAAATAGCAAGACTCGAAAATCGCCAAATACATACACAACAACAACAACAACAACAACAGAACCAACAGCAGAGGCAGAGGCAGTGGCAGTGGCAGCGGCAGCAGCACTTCATTTAGCACGCACACACTTGTTACATAAATAACGGCGAAATGAGTGTGAGTAGCAAAAGGAAAAGAAAACAACAAGACGAAAAAGAAGTCGTCGTCATGCTGAACCTGAGCAACGGCGGCTGCTCAGCGGACACGCACACACACACATACACACAAGCACACGCATGCCTGTGATCTAATAAGAATTTTTGTTGAATTGGACAAAAACACACACACACATATGCTAACTTACATACATACATACCTTTTCAAAGTGGCGCGAACTGCTCCGACTCGGGCCTATAAATGTTGTTGATTTTTATTTTTGCTGTTGTTATTCTTGTTTTCGTTGTTGTTGTTACCGCTTCCAACGCGCGCGACGCACACGCACACGAACGCACGCTTTTCCAAAACTTGCGTTGTACAAGAAAAAAACTTTTCACAATGCGAAAATTATTAAAAAACAAAAAAAAAATTATATACTTTGGCGAAAAAAAATTAAATTTAAAAGCAACACAGAAACTAAAGACAGCGACTGCTTTGCTCTTGCACACTCTCTCCCTCTCGCTCGCTCGCTAGCCACTAGCCCAGCAGCAGCGCACACATGTGCAATACGTGTGTAGTGTGAGTGCGTGTGTATGTGCGCACACAAACACCAAAAGCGACGTCAACGACGAATTCACGACTTTTTGTGTGCGTGTATGAGTGCGTGTGCTTTTTTTGTTTTTACTTTATTTTATTTTTTGTCACTTCACATATTCACAAACAGATTCGCATTTTTTTGTTGTCGTACTAGTATTTAGTACTAACACAACTAAAAATGTACATATGTATGTACAACTGCTGCTTATTTTCTTATTTTTTTTCTCTCTCTCTCTCTTGTTGTTGTTGTTGTTGTTTCTCCCACAATTTGGTCAGCTTTCGGTTGTATATTTCGCACTTGCTTTTTGCCACTGCGACAGTTGTTGTTTTGTTGCTGTTGCTGCTGCTGCTGCTGCTGTTGTTGTTATTGATGCTGCTGCTGCCACTTTACTGCAGTCGTAATTCGTAGTTTGAAACAACAAAAAAAATACAAAAAAAGACAACAAAAATTACCCAACACTAGTGCAACAACAGCTGTTCACACTAGTATTTAAAAAAAAAATTTTTTTTTGTTAGTTAACTCGAACGTACTTCTTAGCTGGCTCAAATCGAAATTGTATGTCAATTTATTTGCTGAGCTCTTCTTGCTCGACGAAGCAAAAGCGAGTAGAAACAACCGTCTCCGACAAAGAAGAGCGTAAAAATGAACAACAAAAATGTGAGAGCAGCCGCTATCGATACTTATCGATGCACAAAACGCAGCGCAAACTGTTGCCCATCGATAGGCGGCAATCAGTGCTGCTTCCAGCCACGCAGTCGCTTTCAAGCACTGCACACAGTGTTGTATTTCAATCGAAACGCGCGCGCGCAACGAATTCAATTTAAATATTTCAAGCCAAATGCATTTTGTAAGGACATTTATTCGTAGCGCATGGAAAAAAAAAACGAAAAAAATACGATTATTTATGCATGATTGTGCAGCGATGATAATGATAACGGTTCGGTTTGCACTCAATAGAAACCATAGTGACCATGATGATACGGATAGTAGCCATGGTGGCCGCCATAATAGGGCGCAGCATGCTGCACATACTCATAGCCGCCATAATAGGGTGTGGCTAGGCCATAGCCGCCATAATGTCCGTGTCCATGTCCATAGCCGCCATAGCCGCCATAGCCGCCATGCCCATAATGTCCATAGCCAAAGCCATAGATGCCGCGCTTCTCCGTCTTCTTCTCGTCCAGCGTTGCGTCCAGCTCAGCCGCTGGCGCTGCTCCGGCATCGGTTGGCTCCGCGTTCGCTGCCAGACAGCTGACCAGGCACATGGCCAGCATAAAGATGACACACTGCAAAAGCCAAGCGGCGTTTAGAGCTGTAATTGCTGGACCAGCTGCTCCTAATCCTGCTGCTGCTGCTGCTGCTGCTGCTGCTTACCAGGTATTTCATGTTGTTTAAGATTCGACTGCGACTGCTGCTGAGTGGGCTGCTGGCTCAAGCTGATTTGTTGTTTGTTTGCCACAAGCGCAGCGTTTTTATAGTTGTGCTACAGTTTGCAATTATGCAAAAAAAAAAAAACTATATATATATATATATATAAAAGCAGAAGAAGCATAATTAATAGAGAAAAACAATAACAATAACAAAAAGCTCAAACAGCAGCGATTGTTGCAGTTGCCGCATTGAATGCATGACGGGCCGCAGCTCTAGCTAAGCTCAAATACAGTAAACACCAACAAAACGGATCAACCAGTTCCTGACGATAAGAGCACATGATGTACACAGAAATTATGTGCTTTAAACCAAATGTTTTTTATTAGAACATAAGTTAATATCATTTCTGCAAACTGGTAAAAGTAAAAGCGCTGGTTCGCTGGCACAGTTTGAACCAGTTTGAAAAACACAGCTCTCCATTTTTCTCTAGATCAAAATGCAAATACTTTTTAATAAGAACATAAATTATGCATAAATATCATGGCTGAAAAACTGGTAAAAGTAAAAGTAAAAGCGCTGGTTCGCTGGCACAGTTTGAACCAGTGTCGCTTCTTCTTTCGTTTAGTTCATGAACTGTTTTTTGGTTCGCACCTTGGCTTATGCTCATTTGATCTCTGAATTTGGGTTTGGATCTGGTGGAAAATATTTGTTTGTTATTTTTGGTTAAATTTTTTTCTAAGAAAAAACTGCTGTGATTCTTGTTCCGGTTCAGATGTTCTTTGAACTTTCAAGTACAGTTCAGAGTAGACAAAATCGAACTGGTTCGGTTCCAGTACGATTTGCAGAGAAACCCAATGCTGTTCGCTTTAGGGTGCACCCACTGTACTGCCTGCAGGCAGCGCATCGCTGGCCGGGCCCAAAAAGGTCAGCTTCTGCTGCAGCCAGACGGGGCTGGAGGCGGCGACGGAAGCTTAGCCGCTGCTTTGGCCCAAGTGGGCGTGGCAACTAACGTTTTTGGCGTCTAGAACGCGAGTTGCGCAACAAGAAACAAAATATTCAAAAAAAAAAAAAAAAAACTTCTGCTTGGGCAAGACGGAAGCTGGTCAAAATTGTGACACACTTAGGGAGGGGGCGTGGCAGAGGATCGGGTGTCGCTTTCACTTGACATGCGATACATGCGATACATGCGATACATGCAACATGCAACATGTTGACAAACAGCCATATGGATTACAGCAAAGCCTCAACAAAAGGCAAGTCAAATGCCAGAAACCCCGTGGGAAAAAACAATTTGCCAAGCTAGAAATTGTTTATTAAACAATTGCATTTGATGTTTGGTTTCGTTTTGTTGTTGCTTTTTTTTTTTTTTGCTTTTTGCTTTTTAATTAAGTCAGCAGCAATTACAATATTATACAGTTGGCACGACTCGCAGATACCAGCGAAAACCTTTTATCAAATAGATCTATCAGCTACAGTAAAGCCTCGCAAGTGCGCACGCTGCGCTAAACGGAACCAGCTCCAATTAGCCAGAGCTTTTGCTTTCTTCGGCAAGGCCTCACCTAGGCATATATATGTACATATGTGACATAGCTAGTAGTAGGTACAGTAGTCACTCGCAGGCAAGAACTTTTACTTTACTTAACTTAATTTGAATTTGTTCTCTTTTCGGTTAGTTGCCTTGTTGCCTTACAGATACGAGGATATGTACAGACTGTTGGGAATTTTCTATAAAATACCTCAACAACAACAACGCCAGCATATGAGAGTGCGTGTAGTCGCTGGTTCAAATCCAGACGCAATTTCGCATTTCTCTTGCGTCGCGCTGCCGAAATAAATATATACATACATATATAATTATCTATGCGTGTACGTATTAAAGGCAGTTCGAATGTTATATATGTATATGTACATTCGCTGGTTCAAACCCAGTCGCAACCTGGAGTTCTTCCAGCGTGCTGGTATAAACATATATACATATATGTATATGATTTCATGTGCGTGTACGTATGAAAGGAAGTTCGAATATGCATATCGGCAGCTCGACGCTAAATTGAGACTGGATTTGAACCAGCGAGTATATATATATATATAACATTCGAACCTACTTCCACGCACAGAAACTCATATATTTGTTTCTTTCGGCAGCTCGACGCTGGATAAATTGAAAACTGAGGCTGGATTTGAACCAGCGACTTTTATTATTATTTTCTTATTTTTGTCTAGAATGAGCGAACGTATCCAGAATCTGTATACTATATACTATATACTATATACTATATACTATATACTATATACTATATACTATATACTATATACTATATACTATATACTATATACTATATACTATATACTATATACTATATACTATATACTATATACTATATACTATATACTATATACTATATACTATATACTATATACTATATACTATATACTATATACTATATACTATATACTATATACTATATACTATATACTATATACTATATACTATATACTATATACTATATACTATATACTATATACTATATACTATATACTATATACTATATACTATATACTATATACTATATACTATACCTTTTCCAACAGTTACATACCATTGACACACAACTAATATGCCCATTTGCGATGGGTATGGAATAATAGGCAGGGAATACTTATCGAAATAATCCACAAGCTGCACGACTTCTCTGAGTGCTTAGCTCCAGGGTAGGAGGGCGTTATGATCCGTGTGGTTCGCCTGCAGCGAGACAATAAACGAAGGACGACCTTGACCGGCTGGCTTGGCGAATGGGTGGACAGGGGGCTGGAGGGGGCTGGTTTTTTTTTTTTTTTAGCTGCATAGTAATTGGTTTTATCTGCTGATCGAGCCAAATGCAACGACGGCAACGGCACCGTCAGCTGCAACATTTGTTGAATGAAGCATAGAAAAAAACTGCCAACTGGCAATTGGCAACGTTTTTCACAAGCGGCCCGGGCCAGAAAGTGGGTGGGCACCGCCATTGTCTGCGACTAGTTAATGTCTATTTCTCTTCTTCTTCTTTATCTTTATCTTTACTTACATATATTTATTAAATGCATATCGAGTTCGCGGCAGTTGCCACACGCCGAGGTTAACGCACGACTCGACTTGGCTGTGGCAAGCGGAAGTTGCCCAGTTCGTGAATAGAAACACGACTTTGCGTGACACGAGCACGCACGATAGACAGAAATTTGGCACGAGCACGCACAAACTTTTATACAAATTTGACAATAATTAGAAAATAAAAATGAAATAAAATATTATTTTTATATGAAATAAAAAATAAGAATCTTTAAAAAATAAATAGACAAAGAAAAAAGCCAAACAAATAAGCTCGTTATGTACAAACTCTTCCAGGCACCTTTTCTACTTTTAAGCAAAAGTTAAAGACAAGATCTTTTAAAATAAAAAATAGGAAAAGTAAGTATGAGAAAACTCTTGAGATTACAAGCACGACTTCAGTTATTTTTACTGTTAAAGGAACTATTAAAGAGAGATAAAAAATACAAAAAAAAAAGGAAGTAAAACCTACGAAAAGATATTCCTGATCACATATTATTATGCAAATTTTGAATATTTTAAAAAACAATTCTTATGCACTTTCCAGTTAGTAGGTAGTTTTTCGTTATTAAACAAATCAAATAGAAAAATAGATTTGAACCAACAAATTGGTTCGCTCTAAAGGATGCCCGCCCAAGGCTGCTTTTACTGTATAGCAAAAAGTCGTGCTTGTTTCTTGAAAGAGAGAAAAAACATCGACACGCGCCCATCTCTAGGCAGCTGTGCTCTTGCCGCTGGTCACGATGCCAATCAAAGCGCCGATGACAACATTGACGTTTGTTGCCACAACATCGGATTTAACAATGCCTTTGCCCCGATCTGGGCATGTTCTGGGCTGATTTATGGGCGCCATTGTCTGCCAGTCGTACCGCCCCGACAGCACAGCGACTGCGCTGGCGGGGCCCCGCCACCTGGTCGAGCATTACACAACCAAACACGGAACAGCAAGAGGCGAGGCAAGTTGGGTTTTCTTATGCGCCGTGCGTTTAACAATTTGTGTCGGAACTATTTATTACGCTTAACAGACATTACAAATTAGCAAAAAGAAATATATATTATATGGGAGGTGCTTTCAGTATTTCAGCTCCTTGGCCTTGTCGTGCGCGCCCTCGTCGAGCAGCTTCAGCTCCGCCTGCTGCTTCTCCGGCCGTATCACAGTGTAATAGTGGTAGTAGCGCATGCCGATCATATAGGTGCCGTATAGGGTGACCCCGATGCAGGCGTATACAGCGCCACGGTGCAGCTTGTCCAGCAGCGTGTTCGCATTCAGCGGCTTCTTTTGCATCTTTCTAGCCGCAATATTACCGCACTCAGAATCAGGAAAAGTCAAGCAATATTTGGTCTGTTAGTGATGTACAAAATGAAATAAACATCGCAGCTTGTATGTTTTTTTTTGTATATATCGATTTCGATATTTTTGTTTACAAACTGCAGCCAACTGTGATGAAACAAAGCAACTCGCATCTCTTGCACACACTAGAGATGTTCACATGGAAAAAAAAGCAGCGATGCAATGCATCAGATTTCGTTATATCGTACCAATTAAAATAACGTTTCGTTTCATTCATTTTGAATTGTCGTTCAATACCAAACCCACAACAGCTGATCGAATGCAGAAGTGAATGCCGCCGTGGTAGGAGCACCTTTTCGGATTTATCGATAATTGTGGCGGCCAACGACAGCAGAAAAAAGGACAAATATCGAAGTTATCACTTTTTTTTTTGAAAATCGATTTATATCGTGCATCTCTAGCCCACACATATTTGTTTACCGCAGGCAGCTGGATTTGGCTCTGCGGTTATTATTTTGCTTAAAAACGATGATCTGCCGTTTGTGCCTGTCCGATTTGGACAACTCGATGTCCATTTACATATTCAGCGATGCCGAGCACGGCCTGCCCAAGGCAATTGCCAAATATTTACAGCTCGAGGTGCTGCACTCCACACACACGCAAACTGTAAAAACATTACACCTTTGCATTCCATTTTGCCAGGTGACGATCAGTGATAGCATCTCCACCAAACTGTGCACCACCTGCTGGCACCATCTGAGCGATTTCGAGCAGTTCTGCGCCATGGTCGCCGACAAGCAACAGTCGCTGCAGCTCAAAATGGAACCGGAACCGCCGCCCGAGCCAGCTGTTGTTGTGTGGAACACGGAGTCGCCCATCGAAACGAAGCTGGTCTTCGATGACGATGTCAAGGATCATATACTGTGCGAGCCCGAGATTGATGTGAATGACAGCACACAGTCGTCTAACAAGCACGGGAACAGCAGCAGCAGCAGCGAGGACTCACCGGCCGATGCATTCGATTCAGACTGCGAGCAGACAGCTGCGGCCAAGCAAAGCAGAGGACGAACGCGCCAGGCGCCTTTAAAGCCAGCCGCCAGCAAGTATCCACCGCCACAATTAACTGCCGCCAGCCAGCGCGAGTCGCGTTTGCGTTCGCGTGAGCTGCGACGCACTGCAGCAGCAGCCGGAGCCGGAGCTGTTGCAATGCCAGAGCTGCCCGCCAAAATGCTAAAAAGCACAAAGTCACGCGGCCGACCCAAGGGTGTCAATGTTAAGCCGAAACCGAAGCCAAAGTCAGCCAAAGCGGACGCCGACGAGCTGGCGGCGAAGCGCAGCAGCATCAAGGAAATGGACGACTATATTGCGGCCAATGTGAAGCTGGACTGTTGCCTGTGCGCGGCGCCGCTCCAGAACTTTATCGAGCTGAAGCGACACTTTCGCGCCGAGCACAATTGCACCGGCTATATGGAGTGCTGCAACAATCGGTACAAGAAGCGCACGTTGTATGTGGACCATTTGCACTATCACAAGGATCCGCAGTACTTTAGCTGCCAGCCGTGCCGCAAGAGTTTCCTCAATCGCAACAGCCAGGACATGCACATGCTGCGCTTCCATTCCGATCAGCAGCAGCTGGTCCATCAGTGCGCCATCTGCGAGGCGCGCTTCGCCAAAAAGTTTCTGCTCACCATGCACATCAAGGGCCACAAGGGCACCGAGCGCACCGAGGCATGCGAGACATGTGGCAAGAGGTGCGTCTTCCGCTTGATAAACTGACACTAGCAATAGATAGATATCCATCTCTCTCTCTCTCTCTCTCTCTCTCTGACAGCTTCCGCACCAAACTGGAGCTGACGGCGCACATAAAGCGCATGCACACCTCGGACTTTACGCCCGTGATCTGTGACATTTGCGGCGTACATTTTCGCTCGAAGGCCAACTTTCTGATACACAAGAAGGCGCTGCATCCGGATGGCCCAGTTGCCGAGGTGCAATGCAATCTGTGCAGCCGCTGGCTGCGCGACGAGCGCAGTCTGCGCAAGCATCTGGCCAGGCACGATGATCGCGATGGCGACAACAAATATCGCTGCCTACTCTGCAGCGCCGAGAAGGCATCCCGTGTGGCATTGAGCAGCCATATGCGCTACCATCACTCGGCCAAGCGGCACAGCTGCACGCTCTGCGGCAAGGAGTTCAAGCTGCCACGGGCGCTAGCCGTGAGTAAATGTCCGGGCTGTGCAAATCAGCCGCTGCGATTTGGTCACAAGTCAAGAGTTTGATTCATTTTTATTTTGCATGCACGCGCACAGGAGCACATGGCCACGCACACGGGCATCGATCTGTATTCGTGTCCATTTTGCACGCGCACCTTCAAATCGCACGCGAACATGCACAATCACAAGAAGAAGATGCATCCCAACGAGTGGGTGCGCAAGTATACGCAGCCCAGCGCCAGCGGCTCCGGTGCCGTCCATGCCAATGGAGCAGCGGCCGTGCTGCCAGACAAGGATATCGCGGAAGAGCAGCAGCAGGAGGAGGAGGAGCAGGAACAGCCAGCCGAGGCGACGGTGGCGGCGGCACCGACATCTGATGGCGGCTACGAGTACATGGTCAATGGCAGCGCTGTTTGTCCAATCTGAATCCCGGCGTGTCGCACCGAATCCCGCCATTGTACATATGTAATATAGTTTATTGGCATCTATAAAATGTTGCAAATGTGAATTGTAGACTTAAACGTAATTTTGTAGTATCAAAAACATCAAGCGGAAGCAGCGTTTAGTTCTCGGCCTCGTTTTCGGCCAGAATGGTGCGGATTTTCATGAGCAGCTCCTTTTTGACCGCGTCGGGCACCAGGGTGCGCGCCTTGGGCGTCACTTCCGCAATTAGCTGCTCGACGGTGACGCCATTGCTGGCGCTCTTCTCGAGCAGTATGTTGCGGCATAGCAGACGCACCTCGTCCCGCCAGCCGCACTCGGTCAGGCGATTGCAGAGCAAGTCCTTGATTTTGGAACGATCCCCCGACATGATTGTGTACTGGTCCACGGTGTTTGAAACAGTCATGGTTTATTGCTTTTTGAATACTTGGCGTTTACTCGCGGCGCGCCGCAATAGGCCAATGTTAGCTAAAATGCTATTTTATATTTGTGGATGGCCAACAAATATTAGCTGATCTAATATCGATAACATTATCGCATTGCCGCCGCCAATGTTTTGACTGCCTTCCCAATTCTCAAACCAATTAGCATCGATGCCAGCAGCAAGGCACTTTATCTGTAAAATGGTTGGAGTAATCGCTAAGTGCACGAGCAAGCTGCTAAATGCTTAACAGTTGCTGTTAACTCTTGGCTAAACTGTGGCAACGCCGTCGCCTAACATTTCATTATCGATACGAAACTGCAAACAGTTGGCAACAATATCAAATATTTAAATTTAAATTAAAAAAAAAAAAAAACAACAAAATACAGAAAAATTTTAACTAATACTTTGCAGATGCGACCAATTAGAAAGTCAATTATGTTTTAATAATCACAATTTGCACAGCAAACGCTCACAATCAAATGACCTTAGTGCTCTCTTAACTGTTAAAGAAAATCAAGAAACTAAAAAAAAAAAAAAACAAACAAATTTTCATGAAATTTGTCTGATTGCCAGCTTTTAAAAAATACTGAGCTTTAAATTTCGATACATCGTAACAGCAAATGCACACCGATATTTACGATCACTGTTATCGATACATCGTTATATTTGGCAAAATACTTATTTCAACATCAATAACTAGCAGCAGCAGCCATGTTCATCATCAGACAGCTAGAAGTTACAGGCAAGAGCAGACATACAAAATTTTTTAACTTTTATTTTACACACCCTTGCTTTGTCGTTTTGTTATACATACACACACACACACACACAACGAACAAAAACAGATTGAAAGTCAATACGTTTTAGTAGACACACATTTTGTTTATTATCTTTTTTCTTTGTAAATTGGATTAATTTGATAAAAAACGACTCGTAAATAGGCAGAAAAGTCATTAAGAGGGCTTTTTGAGTATTAATATTGTAGGTTTTGGCGGTACAGTCACAAATCAAGTGGTAAGTTCTCAATGCATACACACACACACACACACACGCATGCATCACGGCCTCGTGTGTTTGCGTGTGTGTGTGTGTGAATACAAAATGGAGGTGATTCAATAACAAAATTAACTTTTAATTTCAGTTATGTTCCGTAAAAGTGCACGTTCAAGTCAACAGCTAGTAAGTTTTAAATAACTGAAACGGTTTGCTGATCAGACAGGAAATACGAAATGTGAAAAATAAAAAACGATGCGAGCACCAGTCGAATGTGTGTGTGCGTGTGTGTGTGCGAGACGCAAGATCCCGACATTTTGTCGGTTAGGCGCTTCGTGGACACGTTGCAAATGATTAATATTTGTGTGTACGTTTTTTTTTTTGTACTTACAGGTAACTGCGGGCTTCATCAAAAGGTAAAGTAAACTAAAGGGTGTTAGCTTTAGAAATTGGTTTAGGGCGTTTAGAATTGTCCCCAAACCGATTTTCGAAGCAAGTTTCAAATGTATTCGAGTTTTAAACGATCGTATGCTAAAAACGTTCGTTTACAAAAACGTAGTGTTCTATTTTAATGTTATCCGCGCAGTAACATGAAATAGAGCAATAGAGCAACAACAAATATAGGAATTTTTTATTTGTTGGGGTAACGTTATACAAGCCGAAAACGAAAAAAAAAAACAAACAAACCCAACTATTTTAGGGCATGTATAATGTTGCAGCACGAGAAAAAAAAAAATTAGGATGTTATACGTGCCGAGAAAAAAATGTATTAAAAAAGGAGTTAGTAAAACAAATGTAACGTTATACGTGCCTTAACGAATACTTTCAAAATATATTGTTTGACATTAAAATGAAAACTAAACTAAAAAATATGTCTATTGATTTTTACTTGGGTCACGCAATGTGCGTAAAAAGTCGTGCAAACGAAAAGTCAGCAATAGTCTGCATTCTCACTCTTTCAGTTTGATAATGAGAGAGATGGATATATTTTTGTCTCTCTCCCTTTCATGGATTGCAGTGAAAGAGAATGAACATGAGGCTGTATGAAATGTAGCTAGCGCAACGCATAAATGGCGACAAATGAGCATGTGGCATAACATCGATTGAAATGTCGAAAAACGGATTTGATATTCCTTTGCAGTAAGCTTATGAATTATTGTGGTCCGCCATTTTAAGATCGTCCATTTTGAAACTCACGTGAAGCTGGCTGCGCTTGCATTTGACTTAACGTGAAGTTGGCTGCGAGAGACTTCTCAGCCACTTAGCGTTGGCTACACGTAATTGCTGAATCATTTATGGTGTGTGTCTTCAATGTGCTTGGTGTCCTAACTTAGCACAGACACACGGCCACAGGGCGGATTGGAAGCGCAGAATCAACAACGTGGTGGCTAAGCGATTGAAGGTCATATCGATATTGACAATCCACTAATATCGATATTTCATGTCGTCTAGAGCTGCCAGATGTTGCTTTTGCATGGAAATCGCGTCGCGTCGCAATATTGTTACAATTAGCATAAAAAGTAAATAAAAGTATGAAAAAATCCACTTAAATTAATGTACAAATGGTTCAAGTGCAACGGGCTCAGGGGCAGCTTGTAAAAACCAAATGAAAAGTGAGCTGGTGCAGCTGTTGTATGTGTTGTGAGTGTATGTGTCTATGTATACATATGTGCCTGTATATGTGTGTTGCCTTGATTTTGTGTCATACGTGTGTATAAACTACATGCTGTATGTATGTACACATAATTGTGTATAATTTTTGTAATTGTATGCTCAAGTGCGATGATGTATTTGTGTGTTATTCCCATCTGAACTTGCTCGAAAAATAAAAATATAAAAAAAAAAAAAACGAAGAAAACCCGCAACATTTTGAGTTTATAGGGTCTCTGGTCCAATTGGAACAGCAAGGCGTACATACATATACATGCACGAGTGTGTAAGTACATACACATACATACATAAGTACACATACATACATAGACGTGTTTTGTTAGGCCACCAATGACTGTGTTGTGTTGAGTCCATTGTGGCCTCTGCTGCTGTGCAGCGCTGTAGTCTTATTTGAACTCTTTTTTGTTGTTTTTGTATGGCGTCTTAATTTTGCAGCGTTTTGCATTGCCAGCAAGCAAGCAAAAAAAAAAAAAAAAGAAAAAAAAAATGAATTAAATTACATATAGCTCAAAAACAAAGGCGAAATAAAACGCAATGACAACGGGCAAAACAAAAGAAATCATGAATTAGGCAGAAAAGGAAAAAAAAAAGTCGCAGTTTACAGTTAAAGTGAATTAGTGAATAAGCGCGTATTTGTTGTTACACAAAACTAATGGCAAGCTATGAAAAAAGAAGTGGTCAAAATGTCAATATATAAATGGGCTGCATAACAACAACAAGCCAACAGCTACAACAACAGCAGCAGCAGCAACAACAACAACAATGAAGCTAGCAGGTGCATAAACAAGAGCTCTGAACTGGTTCGATCTAATTGGAACTGCGATGTTAGTTAACAGTGCACTGTTGATGAGCAGTCGAAAATTTGCATTAACAGCTGTAATTGCATTATTTGCACAGCTGTTTGACAATACATACACACATGCACATAGAGATGCGCGCGCGTGTGTGCACGTGTGTGTGTGTACATAAAATTACATAAAATTAAACAAAAATTTCAACATTTACATGTGTGAGTGTAGTTGCGCGTGTTCAAATAATAATAACAACAACAACATTTGTGCACATTTATTGGAACGCAGGTGATTTGGTCGGGCTCAGACGCCCAGCAACAGCGAAGGTCAAGTGACGTCGCTGTCGTTGTCCATGTAATAATTATGCTTTTGAGTCGTGTGCATGTGTGTATGTATGTGTGTGTGTGTGTGTGCAGCTATTTATGTATGTATTTAACATTTGATATATCTCAAATAGTGCAAAATACGCAGTAACTGGCTAAATTACAAGAGGAAAAACACCAACAGTGGGCAGCAGCGCGCGCAACTTGAAGCGAAAATAATAACAACAACTAGAACAACAATAAGAAGAAACAAACAGAAAAACAACGCCAGCAGCAGCATCTGAGCTTGGCAATCACAGCAGGCGAGGCGGACCAGGCAGCCAGGAAGGCACAGGCAATCAATCAAAGACAACAGCTCCCCAGGCAAATCTAAAGCCAATAGCAAACGCAACCAACCACAAAGGAGAAGGCCACCAAGGCGAAAAGGCGAAAAGGCGAACGGCGCAAGGCGAAAGGCGAAAGGCGCACACATACCCCCCCCACCCCACCCCACAGCGATGGACTCGGATAACGATAACGATTTCTTGGACAACGTGGATTCCGGCAATGTATCGTCCGGTGATGATGGCGACGATGATTTTGCCATGGAGGTGGATATGCCCAGTTCGACGGAACGTCAATTGGACACCGATGATTATCAATACAAGGTGCTAACCACAGATGAGATAGTTCAGTTTCAGCGCGAGATAATCGATGAGGTTAATCGTGTGCTAAAGGTGAGTCATGCTACATTTTTAATTTTTATATGTATCTATATATACGCATACGTGCATGTTTAAACATGTATGTATGTGCGTATGTATGTGTGTATGAGACTCTTGCAACGTTTATCGTTTGACTGATAAGAAAGTGGCGCACTTCTACAAAGGAGTGTGTGCGAGAGAGCGAGAGAGGGAGACAGACAGCTGATCGATTTGGCACTGTGTGCGTGCGTGTCTGCGTGCGTGTGTGCGTGCGTGTCTGCGTGCGTGTGTGTGTGCATAATCTTAGCCAAATTGAAGGTCAGCACAGTTTGATGACATTTGCAAGCGCAATTGCTCAAAGAGACTTTTGCTGGCAGCATATGCAAATGTATGTGTGCATGTATATGTGCACGTATACACATATACAGCGGACATCTCCAAACATTTTGTGCGCTTAAAAAGCGTTAAAGAAATATAAGAAAATATTTAAAAAACATGAAATAAATAAAAAATTATATTAATAGTTGATCCATCCGATTTTTGCGTTTATAATAGATAATTGTGCGGTATATCGGATTTTATATTCCCTAAAAAACATTTATATTCATATCTTGTGTGCTCTTGACACGAGCAGATAATTATTTCTATCTTTTCTGCAAAGTCATTCTTAACTGGAAAACTTTAAAATGCGCTTACTTCAAGAGCGATATATACATATATAGTATATATATAAACTATTCCTGGTTGGGCATATATATATACATATATATATGTATCATACAGTTTCATGTGTATATCTATAACTAGCAATAGTTTTCATCTAGATCGCAGCGTAAAAAGTATAATGAAAATAGATGGAGACTAAATAAATTGGTCGGCCAAATTGCCCAGTATAAAGATGTTCGTTAAGAGCGAGTTTTCACTGTACCACAATAACTAGTATATGCCCAACTTTGGCCCAGCTCCAATTTGATGCTTCTCGATTTTTACATGGAATTTCAAAAAAATATTCCCCATGTTTAGCTTAACGTTGCGAAACTTTGCCTTCGTCTGGTTTCATTTCATATTATTCTATTATTTAATTAATTAATTTTTTTAATTTTCGATTTATATAAAAAAATAAAAATTATAAAATATTCAACTATTATTTGTCAAGGTGCAAATATGAAAATTTGCTAATAAATATGCTTCAGTTTATGTGCAATATGCAATAGTTAATAACAATTGCAAACCTTTTGTCTGAATTCGTCTAATTATTGACTTCGACTTTTGCTTGTGGGGGCTGCACACTAATCAATATGTCACTCAATGTGTATTTATAGTCACAATAATCTATGCCGTATACATATATATATATATATATATACATAAATATATATAGCATATAGCATATAGACTCATGTACTGTGCTTATCAAACATAAACTTATAAAAATGCGTTTGGTTTCCTTTTTGTTCCTGATTGTGTTTTGATGCAGCTGGTCACGCCCATTACACGAATATTGCTGAATCACTTTAAGTGGGACAAGGAGAAGCTGCTGGAGAAGTATTTCGATGGCAGCGATGATAATACGGAAGAGTTCTTCAAATGCGCACACGTCATAAATCCGTTTAACAAGCCAGCCGAGACGGTGCAGCAAAAGGTTTGTCATAGCAGCTGCATAAAGTTCAACTATATATATATCTGTCTTACTCACTCCGCTCTCTCTCTCTCTCTCTCTCTCTCTTTCTATGCCATGCAGACAACACGGAGCCAGTGCGAGGAATGCGAGATATGCTTCTCCTTGTTGCCGCCAGATGTAAGTTTGCATAGTTGAAATATATTCGGGAATCAATTTAAATATGATTAATTTCTTTGCAGTCCATGACCGGATTGAAGTGCGGTCATCGTTTTTGCCTGAACTGTTGGCGCGAGTATCTGACAACGAAAATCGTTACAGAGTGCTTGGGCCAGACCATATCGTGCGCCGCGCACGGCTGTGATATATTGGTGGATGATGTGACTGTTACCAAACTGGTGCCGGATGCACGGGTGAAGGTTAAATATCAGCAGCTGATCACCAATAGTTTTGTTGAATGCAATCAGCTGCTGCGCTGGTGTCCGTCCGTCGATTGCACCTATGCGGTGAAGGTGCCCTATGCGGAGCCCCGTCGCGTCCATTGCAAATGCGGTCATGTATTTTGCTTTGCCTGCGGCGAGAACTGGCACGATCCGGTCCAGTGCCGTTGGCTAAAGAAATGGATCAAGAAGTGCGACGATGATTCGGAGACGTCCAATTGGATTGCAGCCAATACCAAAGAGTGTCCCAAATGCAGTGTTACCATCGAGAAGGATGGCGGCTGCAATCATATGGTCTGCAAGAATCAAAATTGCAAGCATGACTTTTGCTGGGTATGCCTCGGCTCCTGGGAGCCGCATGGCTCCTCCTGGTACAATTGCAATCGCTATGACGAGGATGAGGCAAAGGCGGCCCGTGATGCCCAGGAAAAGCTGCGCTCCTCACTGGCCAGGTGGGTGCCGCTTCCAATATGCATACAATATGCAATTGCAAATTGTTTAGCTAATCTATTCTTCTGTTTTATCAACAGATATTTACATTATTACAATCGCTACATGAATCACATGCAATCCATGAAGTTTGAGAACAAATTGTATGCATCTGTCAAGCAGAAAATGGAGGAAATGCAGCAGCACAACATGTCCTGGATTGAGGTGGGCCAACACATCAAATGAATGAATCTCTATAGAAATATAATTCGTATACCCTGAACCCATATTGATAAGGGCATAAGCGCTTTGTGCACAGCTATGCAACAGGCAGAAGGAAGCATCTCCGAACCCATAAAGTATTTATTATCTTGATCGGGACGACGAGCTGGCTCTATAATGTCCGCCTCTCTGTCCGTCTGTACGAACGCGTCGATTTGGGGAACTAAAAAACGCTATAGACTTGAAATTTGAAATATATCCTCTCGTGTGCCATACCCAGAACGAGTTTATCATTTTTTTTCTCTCTCGTTAATTCGTCTTATTTCCATAATATGAATAAAATATCAATTTTGAGAGAAGGTTTCTTAAGCATAACTCGAGAACTGTTAAAGCTAGATACATAAAACTTGGTATTGGGACTCTCTTATAGCATATACAGAATACGAATATTTCATTTTTCTAAGAACGACTCTATATACACTTTGTAGGCTCTGCGATAGGCTCTCTTATAAAAGAATACAATTATTCTCGAACGAACACGTTTTTGAAGGTAGAGTCTTGGCATATGCACACTTTTGCTAAGAAAAATGCATAAGGGTCGGACTCTAAGCACCGATTCTATGCGGAAATACATTTCGCAAAATCGTTTCCCCCATATGTTGAGATCTTCATCTACAGAGTGCTGGGCATTATTCATTCTCATGTCCCTCGATGCCCTTCACAGAATAGGTTCAGGGTTTTCCTTTATAGTTTAGGGTACAATGCTCGGTGAGATGATCTCTTAGGATGCGTGTCATGAGCGTTATGGAGCGTTTGCTATAGAGGATAGGAGCGTTTTGGATTGGATTTGTTTAGCTCCTTCTTCTACCAGGTCTTGATTAGCAGCTCCATTCCATTTCGAGACTCCATCTTGCATTTCGTTTACGGCATACATACATATATATTAACTAAAACTTCTATTTGTTGCCTAATGGCAGGTGCAATTCCTGAAAAAGGCTGTCGATATACTCTGCCAATGTCGCCAGACCCTAATGTACACATACGTCTTTGCGTATTACTTGAAAAAGAACAATCAATCCATGATATTCGAGGATAATCAGAAGGATTTGGAGTCGGCAACGGAGACGCTGTCCGAGTACTTGGAACGTGATATTACATCCGAGAATCTGGCTGATATTAAACAGAAAGTACAGGATAAATATAGGTATACGATATACAATATTATTATATATACTGATATATTTATAAATACATATTTCCAAATTGCAGATATTGTGAGAAGCGTTGCACAGTCCTGCTCAAGCATGTGCACGAAGGTTATGAAAAGGATTGGTGGGATTATACAGAATGACGCGAATCCTGGCTGGATAACTAAGGTGATGCAAAATCCGAGTGTAACTAGCAATTTGGCGTTAGCAGTAGCAGTATCAGCTAGCAGTAAGCATTAACAGCCGTAACAACAACAACAGCAGCAGCAACAGCCGTAACAGCAGCAGCAGCAGTGCAAGCAACAATTTTTAAACAGAACAACAGAAAACAACAACATAAGCAACAACAAAAGCAATAACTTTAGCATAAACAACACGTGTAACAGCAACAACAACAAGAACATGAACAAGAACAACCACACACAGAGGCACAACCAAATGTATGGAGTTTGAGGCAAGAACAAGCTAAATATGAGAATTGATTAAAGCCGCGCACAGAGAAATTCAAGCAATAACAAAAACAAAACAGTAAAAAAAACGAAGAAAAAAAAAATACAAATATTAAAATAAAACACAAAAAAAAAAACAAAAACAAAAACAAAAAGTTAAAAAAATAAAAAAATAAAATAAAACACAGACCGTAATGCAGTTGCGCAAGTTGTTGCATACCCAGAAAAATACGGAATAAGCGAAAAGTTATATTAAAATCATACTATATAAAATATATATATATATATATGTATATATATATATATACATTTTTTCTCTTCGTGTTGAGCAGCAACTTAACTGATCCCAGCAAGCATACACACACACACACACACACACACACACACACACACACACGCGCGCGCGCGCGCGCATTAGGAGTTGCTGTTTCCATATATATATAAATATAAAATGCAAAATTCATCGACATCAATTTTCACTTGGCTGTTCCAGTTAAATAATAAACAAAATGAAAAGAAGCATCAAGCGAATCAACATAATTATATGCAATAGAATAGATACACTCCAACACACACCCAGGCACAACCCACCCACACACACGCACACACACACACACACACAGTTAATATAGCGAGCAAATTGTAATAAACCGAGCTTGTAAGAATTGCCCGACTTTCGGGCTGTTGCATATGTTTGTGCTTTGTTTGTAGTTCTAGTTTATTCATTTAGCCATTTTTGTTTTTTTTTTTTTGTGGTTTCAACGAATTTGTAAACTAAATTTTCATTTTTTTTAAATCTATTTTCTTTTGTTTGTTTAACGCTGTATCGATTGCATATTATTTGTCTCTGATTCTGTTATAAAAAATATATATATATATCTGTATATATATATATATAGATATATTTACTTAGTCGCGTTTATCACAAAGCATATGAACATGTTGTCCATCATTATTTATTTAAGCAAACAAATAGCAATTCCCACAAACAATTTGATTTGTGAGCGATGCAAATTGCAGTTTATGGAAGCAATATATAAATATTATAATTATGTAAATGCAATATGTAATAAACAGAATTCAAGTTGTACATGTTAATAATCAACTGGTAGTAATGCACTCACACACACACACACACACACACACACACACGCATAGACACACTCACGCACGCAACCTTAAGAGTCCGTAGCTCTTCCTCACTCTTCGCCTTGTTTCACACGCGTTCCATCCAACTCTGCCATTAAACGTTAAGTTCTGGTAGTAGTACTCTACGCTGGAGAGCTGCTCCCGATTCCGGTCAAGTGCCGAGAATCGATTTCGATTTTAATCGTTGTACATATAGTTGAAATTGTTCATGGTTTCTCCTTAGGCTGCGCGCTGCTTTGCGAAAGGCGTTCGCCATGCGGCCTTTTGCCTCTGCGTTCTTCTCTCCGTTTGGCATTCTCGATTCTCTAGATATATACCTATACATATAGAAACATACATACATATATATATGTGTGTACATGTACCAAGTTTGTGCTACCAATAATATGTATAACAAGAGCTAAACTCATTGAAATGCTGTAAAAAGTTTAAAAGTTGTTCGACTCGAAACAATTGAAACAAAATAAATAAATATAAAAAACATTAAAAAATTATGAGAAAAAAAAAACAAAAAACAAAAAAAAAGACAAAATTGCTGTAAAAATTATGAGAAACTATGTATGTATAATTAATGATGAAATGTTGCGAAAACTAGTGAAAATAAAAATAAAAATAAAAAAAAAAAACAAATACAAAATATTCCTACGACTTTGCTAGGCTTCTGCAAATATCTTAGCTTGGCTTGCTCCCCAGTTTAAGTTCATTTTGTTGTTGCTATATTTATTAATTGTTAACTTTTTAATTTTATTCATTCATTAAAACTATTAATAATTTATTAATTCAAATTTTCGCATATAAAAATTAATTTTATAAATTAAATTCATCATTTTTTTGCTGTCAAAAAATTCTTTTTAATTTTAATAAGTGATAAAAATGATTCATAATTTATAAAAAACTAGTCTCACAAATTGAAGATATGAGGTTTATTTTGATTTTTCTGCCTAAATGATAACAATTATTAATAATTTATTAATATTTTTTTAATTTTCGCATATAAAAACTAGTCTTACAATTCATCATTTAATTTGTTTTTTTTTTAACACATTAATTGGTATTAAGAGCTTAAGATATGATGTTTATTTTTACTTTTATTTGTATTTTCTTTACCCTCGATTATGTTCTAGAATTATTAAGCAGCCGCATTGGTTGCATATGTATTGAAAATAATTTTAAACAAATTTTAGACTTGAAATCTTAACAAGTTCTGAGTAATGTTCGACTACGATTTCCAATTCCAACAAATGGCTAAAACACACATCGATTCTTGCGTGGAGCTACAAAGCGGAAACCAACTACATGTATGTACTTATTATTATTATTCCCTGAGCCCATTAAAAATGGGTAAAAAGGGTATTATGTATTTGGGCAAAAGTATGTAACAGGCAGAAGGAAGCATCTCCGCATCTCCCCATAAAGTATATACTTATATTCTTGATCAGCATCAACAGCCGAGTCGATCTTTCTGTCCGTCCGTCCGTCCGTATGTATGAACGCAGGGATCTCAGAACCTATATGAGCTAGAGAATTGAGGTCCTCATAGTCCATGCGCAGATCGAGTTTGTTTCCCATAATCGATAACTTGCCCCGTTTCCAAGTAATCGATAAAAATCGATATCGAAATCCTGTTTTTTGAGCAATTTCGGCAAATAATATGAGCTAGAGTCACCAAACTTGACATGTAGCTTCCAGAATAGCATATATATATCAAGTATCTTTCATTTTATACCTATTGCCTGTCGGAAGAAGAGGTGCAGGGTATCCTCTAGTTGGGAGCTCCCGACTAGAACCTCTTACTTGTTATTATTACTATTATGTCGTTGTAGAGGGTATTATAATTTTGTCTTGAAATGTATAATGCATAGAAGGGGAGACGTCTCCGACCTTATAAAGTATATATATTCTAGATCAGCAGCAACAGCCGAGTTGATATAGTTCAGACTGTCCATCCGTCCGTCTATCTGCCCGTCCGCTAGTCTATAGAATCTATGCGAGCTAGTCTCTCAGTTTTGAAGCTTCGTGAAACTTTGCATAAATCTGTCTTGTCGGAACTGACCGGATCGGATCACTATATCTTATAGCTGTCATGGGAACGATCGGTCGAAGATTGGTTTCAGGCTATAAACTCGGCATTTATATACTTATATTTATGTAAAATGTTATCTACATCGGAAAACTATGTCATAATAGCTGTCATGGGAACGATTGTTCGAAAATTTCTTTTCTATGGGAAACTTTATTATTCATCAGGATATCTTGATTAACTCAGGCATTTACTATTTGAACTATGCTGCTGACATAAAAGCCAAATCCCATCAAGACCGCTAAATTACTAAATTATTTAGCTCTATTGGCAGAATCAGCCGAAAAATTATAAATGATTTTGTGCATGGCAAAATATTCTGCTTTCCAAGATATTATCATCAAACTCAGCATTTACATTTGTAGAGCATTTACATGGAATGGTTATTTATTTTAAAGGTAATGTTCTTTAAAAAATTAAATAACTTTTTTTTTTTTTTTAGCATTTTTAAATATGGTAGAAACTAAGTTTGTGTCTCAGCCGACGCGGCATTTCAAATATGAGTTAAGCTTTAATTATTATAGATTTTAACTCGCTCGAAATTGCCAGAAATCAAAGCACAGTCTTCAGTTCTTCAGTTATTTGGGATATTAGTCAGATCTACAGCTTTCTCCTGCTGTTGATTTTTCCAAGCATTCCCCGACGAAGCTTTTGCATGGGGCTAGAGCTAGAGATAAAGATATATAGATATATCTGTATATCTGTATATCTGTTCATGTATCTATTGAACGTGTCTATTTGACTCTTGCTGTGTATTTATTTAATTAACGTTAATTCTGGTTTTCAGCTAACTTTGCCAATATTTGGCTGACGCTGCAAAAATTCATTGAGCATATAAATATGAGGTAAGTCGCGTGTGCGCGCATCCCACGTATAGCAAATGCAGATACAGATACAGATACAAATGTATCTGCTATTCGTATTTGTATCTGTATCTCTTAAATGCTTTTCAATGCATGTATGTATATTTAGCTCGTTGAATGTGTTGGATGCGTGCCGTGAATACCAAAATGTACCGCGAGCTTGTGGGCGAGGTTGCGGCTGGGCTGGGCTGGGGGCTAAGCCTGTGGGCGGGGTTGTGGGCGGGGTTGTGGGCGGAGTTGTGGGTGAGGCAGCCTGGCTAGACATCCATTGATCTTCGCCCTAATCAATAAGATAGTTAGCATGAGTGGCAGCTGCATTTTGTGCTCTCAAGTCGCACGATTAATTGAGATGCTGTTATGTTTCTAATTTAAGCAACTAAGAACGAATCCAACCGACTGACAAATACTCTGTGCACAGACTGTAAGCGCACAGATTGACTCTCAAACTGTGATTAGATGAAGTATCGTTACGTTTTCTCAATATTTTTGGCTTGCTTTTTGTAGGAATTTAGCTTTAGTTGGAGAATTTTAGCCTTAGAACTTTAGCATATATCGATTGTCTGTCTCCTCAGCTCAGAGGCGTGGTCCAAGCTTTAAGTACTTTGTCTGACGAGAACATGAACTTGTTTATGTTCCAAGCATATCACTATATTACCTATATAAATATATGGCTGCAATCATAAAAGATAAGTATAATCGCCTGTTTGCAGAAGACGGTTAAGGGTATCCCCTAGTCGGGAGCTCCCGACTAGAACCTCTTACTTGTTTTAGTTTAGTTTAGTTTCTTAGGCTTCTATAGGAACAATCGGGGAACAAAAAACCACCTGCAGTTCTTTCAGAATCATATAGCTCGAATATAAATTATACTCGCTTATTATCTTTTGGTATGGTAATTTTCTGTTCCTGCACCAATCATTCCTATTGCAAAAGACTTCCTTTCAGTTAGTTTAGTTCAAAAGATGACGTTTCCTATGAGGTTTTCCAACATTGTTGTATTAACAATTATTGCTTAGAACAAACATCCAGTAACTGGTTAAGATGAAGATCAGTACGAAATCCCCTTTTACCTAGGTTTAATTGGCGCAACCTTTCGAAATGATCTGTTCCCAGCAGCTAACTGGTTTAACCTTTCGAAATGATTTGTTCCCAGCAGCTAGCTGGTTCAACCTTTCGAAATGATCTGTACCCAGCAGCTAGCTGGTTTAACCTTTTGAAATGATCTGTTCCCAGCAGCTAACTGGTTCAACCTTTTGAAATGATCTGTTCCCAGCAGCTAACTGGTTCAACCTTTCGCAATTATTTGTTCCCAGCAGCTAACTGGTTCAACCTTTTGAAATGATCTGTTCCCAGCCGCTAACTGGTTCAACCTTTTGAAATGATCTGTTCCCAGCCGCTAACTGGTTCAACCTTTCGAAATGATCTGTTCCCAGCAGCTAACTGGTTTAACCTTTCGAAATGATCTGTTCCCAGCAGCTAACTGGTTCAACCTTTTGAAATGATCTGTTCCCAGCAGCTAACTGGTTCAACCTTTCGCAATTATTTGTTCCCAGCAGCTAACTGGTTCAACCTTTTGAAATGATCTGTTCCCAGCCGCTAACTGGTTCAACCTTTTGAAATGATCTGTTCCCAGCCGCTAACTGGTTCAACCTTTCGCAATTATCTGTTCCCAGCCGCTAACTGGTTCAACCTTTCGTTCCCAGTAGGGAACGCTGTCATCTAGGTGTAGAATAGTTGGAGTCCAAGTTATTGAAGCCTTGAAACCACGAGGAAAATGTTTCAATTTGGGATCTGATTAAAAATGAAAATTCCGAAACTGTTTTGCAGCCTTGGTTCCTAGAAGTGGAGCGTAATCTCGAACGCATGACGTATTAATTCCCCCATGACAGTCTCACATAAGACTCTGCCAATGAATTATTCTATTCGTATTCATAATTCCCAAAACGATTCCAGCTCTTCAGCTGCCATAAATTGTCACATTTTCTTCTTTACAATTATGTCTTGTTTTCTAT